ACGGCCCCCTCTGGCAATAAATACATTAGGCTACAATAATAAGACATTGTGCGTGGTATCTATCTGGACGATATTAATTGTCTGTTTAGGCTGGACTTGAAGCATCTTTACTGTCTGGCATACTCGGAATACACTGCCATGTGATAAGACTTGAAACAAATAGATAAAAGACGTGAAAGGGTGATTAAAGGGTATTGTTTTCTATTCCTGAAGGTCACTGACTATCACAAGAGGGCACCATGAATGGCATACAGCCGTCTTAAATAAAAATGTTGCTCTAAACCCATGCATAGCTTTATTTGTTTTATGTGCAAGTATCAACAACGTCCATTTCTATCATCTTTATCTACTCAAGGAATGTGTATATAATTGTGTTGTCTGTACTGTCTGTACATTAGCACAGATATTTTTTTTGCAAGGAAAATATTGACAACACATTACCTCGATCATTTTCATACTAAAATGATTTTTATTTTGTGATTATAATACGTGTGCAATATGGGGAGAATTTTCTCCAGACATAGCCGTTTCCTCGAGTACACTTCTGCGATATATATTATAAATATATGTAAAAAAACTTATCGGGTAACCAATGCAGATTACATTCATTCAGTTTTTTTAAATACAATTATATCTGCAAATTCATAATTTCTTTGGTCATGAATGATATTATAGTTGCTTGGATAATTTTACAAAAAATGCCAGATTTACCTGGTCTAATTATTGTCAATGTTGTTCGGAATTTTCATGCCCGCTTGCATGCCAAATTGTTCGAATGGGACGAAAAGTTGGGGCTCCGCGTACAAAGTAATAAGAATGTCCTACTTTATGAAGACGGAAATGAAATGAGGTTTAACGTCCTACTGTTTTGCCCCTAACTGGGCTAATGAAGACGGGCATATATGCCATACAGTGTGCTATGAGGGAAATTTTGCCAGGACAGCGGCACTACGGCCTACTCTTATATCGAATTCCAACTGTTAAGGGATCTTTTACGTGCACGCCAATGTGTACACGGGACCTCGGTTTTTCGTCTCATCTGAATGACTAGACAGCTGTCCTTGCCAGGCCCTCCGTCCAGCATCCCTGACAAGGCGGAATCAGGCCGGAAAATCTGGATGAACTTTCTCGGCCAATGCAGGGATCGAACACCCGACTTCCAGGCTAGCGAGCCAGCGTCTCACCCACTTAGCCACCGTGACCCCCATTAAGAAGACGGAACGTGTACAACGTAATAAGGAGATGGAATGGGATTTGACGTCCTACTTTATGAAGACAGGGCGTATACAATAAAAAGACGGTGACATCACTGCCAGGGCAAAATTCATGTCTAATTATGCACCTTATAATATTAGAAAAAAGACCTTCATACAATTTTTGTTAATTTTTCATACCAGTTGTGTCTTAGTAACAGGGTCGTATTTATCAACATCTCAATTATAGTTGTTTAGAATTGTTGTGAAGATTACAACGCCAAATAATTAATCATTATACAGTTTGGTTTCTGTTGATAAACCATAAATAAAAGGATTATAATTCTGTAATCCGATAGGGGTTTTATTTAATAAGTAAATAAATGGCTGACTGAGAATGTGTTAATTATCGATAATGATGCTAATTAATGGGGTGTACACAATATTAACATTCTTGTCCATTCTATCAATAAACATTGGACAACACTTTTTTTAAAGAACGTTCAAAGAAGCTCTTATACAGGCGTTGAAATAACTTTAATCTTTCAGCCAATCTATGACTTGTAGGCTATTAAGAACGGGTATAGATGTCGGTAGTGGAATGAAGTAATGAATAATCAGGAAAACGGATTAGATTATGATTTTGCAACCGTCACAGGCTAGTTGTAGCGTATTCGTTTTATGCTGTCTATCTAATAATCACCGACAAGACCAGGCAATTTAAGAGCGTTTATTGTCAATAGCACCCAAAGTATTGCAAAAAGTGACCGACAAGGATATATTTGTTTTAGTCATAGATATGCATATTCTATATATAATATCATATCCAAATTTAAAATGATTTTATAAAAGGGAGTATGTATCATGCAAAATCGAACTATTAACCTAGGTCTTCACAACTTTGACTTTCTTATAGATCCATGTTTATATACGGAGTTTATTTATGTACGTGTTGTACACTTGTTTATCTTCTTGTACCAGTGTATCTTATGAACTGAAGGTAAAGACTACAGAAATACTTTAAACACATTTTAACAGATTTCAGCGTTGCCTTTTATACTCTAAAACTACGTACAAACATCTCCATACTAAACACAATTAATGAGCACAGTGCATAAATTTGTCAAGTATATTGATTTAACTGGGGCCCGTGTATATAAACTGTTAAATCACATTTTAATAATATATAGACTGTAATGTATATTTTGAAAGTTTGAAAGCTAAATGTATGGAATGAATGGAGTTTAACGTCTCCCCCCCCCCCCACACACACACACAATATTTCAATAATTATGGCTAATATGGAAATTTTTGTTATGGTTACGTATACAATGCCAAAGAGTGGAAATTTTGTCTATTACAAGCACTATACATGTATATGAATTTGTACACTTGGTCCCAATTTTACGTCCCATACCAATGGCTAGACACGTACGTGCTACGCATGTGCATTGCCATCTCCGCGGAGGTTTACGTTTGAGGATGATTGATATCTATATAGGCTACACATCAGGAGATGATTCATAATTTGTATAAATGTTTGAAGAATTTATTTGAAAATAATGTTTAAAACAGACTTTTCATTTAAGTATATCTGTGTAAATGGTGCTAATTTTGATGTCTCGTCGATTTGGTCGGTCAGATTTACTTCGTTTAACTGATTTATTATAGTCTTACAAATTTATAAAGGTAGGTACGTCACGTCATCTTTGCCCTGAGCTATATAGTCTATCACAGTCATTGCAGTGTCATCACAAAATATTACATCAGTCATTGGTAATATGGAAACACTAAGTCACAATTTCGAAGATGACGAACATTATTTGCTCGTATGTCCCTTACATTCAAATGCAAGAAACCAGACAACCCAAAATCTGCAATATAAATCTTAATTGTAAAACTTAGATCAATTGTCTCTTGTATGGCTAAACAAAACATAGTCCTGAGATAAACACGCTCATCTTCCAAGATGTTCAACAATTGTCAGAGGTGCGGAGCTGAGGGTCTGGTTTGGAACGACGTCTAGTTGTACGGATGGGAAACCCCGACGTCACGTGTACACATTGGCGAACACGTAAAACATCTATAAGATTAGGTCGTAGCGCTGCCGTCCGGGCAAAATGTCCCTCATAGCAGATTGCGTGACGTTTGCCCGTCCTCATTAGCCCGGATGGAGTACAAAAGTAGGACGCTCTAAACCCCATTTCATTTCAAAAACTGCTTGACTTATAATTAAAGTGTTATAACCACACGACCACAGGCCCAGTATTAAGCCCGCCGTACACGAGCAAAGCAAATTTGACAAGTTTCTTTGACGGTCTCTTCAAATTTTCTTTGACCGTGTATGAAGCCAGCAATTTATTTGACGACCTATCGTACACGAGCATAAGTTCCAAATCTTTGACACATTTATTTGACGAAAAGCTATGCATGCCAGCAAATAAAAATGTGGCAAATATCCTCTCGTACACGAGGGCTTTAGGATAAGAAAAATTATATTTGACAAGATTATTAATTTGATTTAAATCTCCAAAACAACTAATATTTATATTAGGAATGTAAGGAATCGTTGTAATTCGCAGGTCGTGAGCACATCTACAATTTGTTTAATCTTTGTTACATGTTACAGAAATGTGTTTGACAACATCATTTAACACTTTACGTTATGGCGACAAAGTGTTAAAAAAGACTAGACCTTTCAATTTACAAAAGTCCATGTCTATAACAACTTTCTAAAAACAGTTTTTGTGTGTTGCGTTTTAAAAACGTTTATGGCTGGGGTGTTTGTTTTTTTTACAATAAAATCAATACAGAATATTTGTGGGTTTTGCATTTAAAACATTTTGCTGTTTCGTGAGTTTTACGCGAAAATTAAACTGATGGGTGCGGGGGGATAACCCAGCTATATTAAAAATAAAATCATCGAACCGTTTGATACGGATATATTTCGGATATAATTTGATTCTGGTACTTCTTCCTTTCAATTCAGCCTTTTGTATCGTTTTATATTTTTTTAAGGGAGGGTAAGCTGTACAAATTTGTAAGACAGGATATCCAATCGTGATCATTATATAATTTGCCTATATATGAAAATCGGACTGATGGACCATATCCTACAATCTGTAATTACTAAATGGGATAGTCATATGAAAATATTGATAATAGCGAAGGATTCCCCTTGATTAATGTCCTGATTCAACACGTCACACAACAGGTATTTTCTTTTCGGCATTTCACCTTTTTGATCAACCCTCTTACCTGGCTATGACTCAGCTGTAATCCAATCAAATTGGATTCTACCTGTCATGTGACCACCTGCATTCAAACACAAAGCATGGGCAAGTTTATGGACTGAATTGAACCGATATTTTGACATAATTACATATATGGAATACTTATATTGTAACAAGAAATTCAAGTAGATTAAACACGCAGGAAGTATATAATACGTAATATCGGAAAGTATTGTTTTATATGTATTTGTAAAGCTTGTGATTGGACGTGTGAATATTTGTGTTACTACACTTTTAGTTTTAGAGCTGTGCAACAGGTTAGTCCAATGAAAACAACAATCATGGCGTCGACACCCGACATAAACTTTTGACATCAAATTTGCAATGATGCGGAGAACCACTTCACCACCAGGCCCATTTAGGATTATAATATTGTGTTAATTGGAATAATGTATTGGTATTCAACGGATAAATGATGGATATTGAAAATGAAAATAATTCCCCGGGTTTTAACTACTGTTTGAAAATTTCTGATTGATTAATTGACTGACTGGGACTGCACTGCATGCAGAAGATCAAAGCCTTATATAGGAGGTGTCAGGTGTGAAAAATTGCACAATATCTGCAATTCATATTAAATATTCCAAGATGTATAGAAAGAAAATGATAGTTGTTTCAAGAATGTCGCCAATCAGTGCTTCTACCGTCATATTTTATTTACTTTTATATTTATTTACCTGTGTTGTTCTGTGTCAAGGTGAGATATTTTATTATTTTAAAAAATTATTTACATTCCAAACTGATATTTTATTAATTTTTATGAATTATTTTTCATATATTTTGATGCAGTGTTTTAAAAGATATAATTTATAACACAATTGTCATAAGCCCATTATAAATGTAGAATAAATGAGGGGGATTTCCATTCTAGAAGTACACATGGATATAAATTTGCTGTGCCATCGGAATAGATTTAATTGTAATCTGCCCTTAGCTCAACTAAGCCATTTTGCATGTACAGGGAACAAATAATGTAAGCCAAATTGGTGGACAGATTCTATAATCACTCCAAATTTACAGTAAAACAAAAGTAAAAATTCCTTTTTAAACTATAATAACTTAAATGTTAATAACAAACCAATTTATATTATTAAACTATTCTTGATAGAAAGAAATATTCAATGCTACCCATTACGTAATTTATAGTTTTTTTTGCATAGGATTTAGTTTTGTCAAATAATACTTAAAGATACATTATGGGAGATTAGATAAAGAGCTGTAGTTCTTATTATAATAGTTAAAAACTAGATACTGTAAATGGAATTTGCTGAAAATTTCAGTCAAATTGATCCACTATGAACCGAGATTTTAGCGATTGAATTTTCGGCCAAGCCTCGATCATAAAGCCAGTCTTCATTAGCCCAGTTCGGAGCAGAACAGTAGGACGTTAAACCCCATTTCATTTCATTACTAAAGTCGGTAGGATAAAAAATATAGTCTCGATTATCCATTTCATGATTTAATTATGAATGGAAGTCGAACAGCAAATCGAAACCTAATCCAATAAATATTGCAGGCTAGCGATGCCCTCGACAGTTGATTATGGTCTGGACAAGTTAATTAATGTCTAATTAATAATTTAGATAACATTTCATGCCTAAAGAAAGACCTGCAATAGGCAGATTTAACTCTTGCATAATGTATCTTTAAAGCCTTGTATTTTTATCTCATTTTCATTAAACCTGTTGGGGCAAAAAATTAGGACATTAAACCCCCATTTCATTCATTCGTTTGTTTTATTATTTCAGGGATCGACCATTATCCACCTCGTGTATTTAGAGAAGAACCAGCAGAAGGAATACCTAAGCCAGAAGGGGGTAGTAAACAGTTAACATGTAGTGTATTAAGTAGTTATCCCCCAGCAGTATATAGTTGGACAAAAGATGGTGTTTTAGTCTCACAAAATTCTTCTGGATCTGTGTTCACGATATATAATTTAAATCGTAGCCATGAAGGTTATTATAGATGTCTGGCCAGCAATGATAAAGGTGCTCTGTTGAGTAAAGCTGTTAAAATAGACATTTCATGTAAGTATTTTTCTGGCATAGATAAGGTGGAGTAAGTTTTCATTCCTTGTATACTTACACAACACATGGAACCCAGACAATTTATTTCCTGGTAACTCAATTTGTTTGAAGCTCTTCTGATCGAGAAATTCTGTTTCTGAAGATTATTAATTCTGCGATTAAACATTAGCCTGTAACACTGTTTCTGCATCTTTAAGACTTGACTTCATATTGGAGTACACGTAGATGACAGAATTATATGCTCTGAATCTGAGTACCATATTGTAAATGCTGCTTTTGCCTGAGAAATATGTTTTATCCTGTTTTACAGTCTCTCAAATACATGTAGTATATAGAATAGAATAGAATTTTATTGCAGCGAAATGTCCTTTGAGGACAGCATACAATATACAAAGTATTAAATACAAGTACAACAAATTTGGATAGGTACAATAATATGTTGAAGAAATGAAATCATGAAATGTTTATCAAGAAAAATATATGTAATTGGCATTGGATAATTGAACATTGAATCACATAATATTGCCATGGTGCATCTACTGCATACATGTACATGTATTTATTTCGTGTTTAAAATATATAATGCAAAATATGAAAATTAATTGCACAAATTGCTGCATACAAATACATGTATTGAGTAAGGCTATTAATATTTACATGCTATATTGAGGAAGATAAAAATGAGATTTTCTGATGATGAACATTTTCTTGATATGATTTAGAGATAAATACCATTTAGAGGCCCACAAAAGGGGATGAAATGGTCTTTAACAGAAAACAAGACATTTTGAAGGATTTTGAGAGAGATTCTACCCCTTCATTCTCCCAGATACTCATATATATCAGCTTAGCTTTCAGTAATCAGTACATGTAAACACTAAGAAAGAATTTTATTAGAGTTCAATAACTTTAACCTAATTTGTATTCATGTGCATCAACTCCTGTTCATGTACATGTATGTATTTAACTGAAGTGATGTATTTCAACAGACTGAATGTATTAAACAAAGTCTGTCACCTATTATGTCCATTCACAGCATTCTGATCTTAATAGACATGGGACTTTAATACTTTATACTTGTACCCAATACATGTATTTTAAAGTAGCTAAGTCTTTAACTCAATATCATCCACAGTCTTCGACATTGAAAACACAAATTATATGTCAATTTAAATCAACATTGATTTTGTGATCTTACCAGGAAAAGATAGGCTTCTGATAGCCATTATTTAAGACAAAATAAACATTTTACCATTGGTACACAAATCGTGGACCATGTGTTTTAGACCATTTGTAACAAGGGACTCGAAGAACGAGACTAGACATATTTCACAAGCCATGTCAACATATTCATATCTGGAAAGCATGCGCAATAAATATCACCAATGTAGACTGGAATAACCAGATGCTAGAGATTGCCATTCGATTGAGACTTCTTGCGTATTTCGCCAAACATTACTGATTTGAAATTAGAGTAAAAACAGAAACGATTGATTGTAAATCAGTTTATATACATTCATATTACATTATTATAATGCTTTGTGACCCATTTGTGTCAATTTCTAGATCCCAAATATTAGCAATTTAACTCATTTAATATTAGGACCTTTTTTTTTCATTTCTCAACTAAATGTGGAGTATTTTTATTTTAGAACATTCCTACTCATTTGGAAAAGATGAAAAAAGTATACCGGTGGTCCTATACCTAAATTATAACAGCACATATAATTCATGTTACAGGCATTTTTCTAGGAGAAAGTGGAATTTGTCACATTTAAATATAAGTAGAGGTTAATGCCACTGCCCTGGCAAACGTCTTCACATGTTAGTGGTAGATTGGATGCTAAATGACATTTAGTTTATTTTATGAGTGGAATTAGAATTGTTCAGTTACTTTTGTTTCTCATTCCATTTACTTGAACTTAATTTACCGTGAAGTCCATTCATTGTTGAAGCGAATGTTTTATTTCATATGCATGTAGACGATTTACATCCATAAAATAACGTAATGCAAATTTTGAGAATTGCATGTTACATGTAAGGGTTATTGATATAAAAATTATAGGTATTAGTCACATTTTCTAGATAAAGTTTCTGGCTAGGAATTAAAATCTGTTCCCCACTCACATTACCCATATTACAGGTACACGTACAGACAGGTTTGATCGAAACTTTTAAAAAATTGGTGGACAGGTTCTCAAACTGATTAAAACACAGATCCTATTTCGTTTCGTTTTTTATAGTTCAAAATTTCGTTTCACTCGTCTTAACTACACTAGGATCTGGAAGAGTTGTTATATTACTGGCGTTTTGGTTGAAGTGATGGAAAAGCCAATGAATCAGTCTGTTATGGTGACTTCTTGGCGTGCCATGCACGAAACTGTGGGTAAACCACAAGAAACGCCAACGCTGATTGATTAATCAATGTTTGACGTCATAGGGTCAAAAGCCACTTGTACGACCCCTGACACAACCTACGAGTACAACTTGTCAGATCATCATGTAGTGTAGGCCATCGAAAGTATAATAAAACCGAAACAAAATATAGATCTGTGTTTTAATCAGATTGACAGGTTCTAATATTGATCCAAAGAAAGGTTAGAAATGGGTTTCTGAAGATAAATTCAAAAATAAGAAAAAATATATACTATTTACGTGTGTATGTACTTAATTTAGATAGAAAAGGGTATTTAATAATGTTTCCTTGACCATGATTAGGTCACCTAATAATATAGGAACTTTATTTCATGAGGAAATATATCTTTAAAAGTTGTTAAAAGATAAGTCGTGGTGGGGGTACCTTGTTGTGCAGGCCTACCCTAGTATGTTTTTTAGATAATAGGGACATTGAGTGGTCTTTGAGTACTGATAATCCAGGCAGCTGAGCAGTCTCAAGTATGACTGATTTAAAGACATTATAAATAATACTGTTACACATATAGAAGGTTGATGAACATTAAAATACTGAGGTCCTACAACTTGTATATCATTTATTAACATATATTGATGTATTACTAAAGATGATTAATATGTAATTATCAATAATTAACCGTCTTAATTACATAGAAATGCCTCATCATATATATAGAAAGAGACCTATTGATCTACTTTGTTCCACTTGACTAATATTTTACTTCGGGCTACATAGACACAATATGAAAAACATTAGAATAAAATATATTTTTACTGAAATATCCTTTGGGAACAGCCTACAAGATTTGATTGTACAGGTTTCACCTTACAAAAGTGTTGAATAGTTTTGACCTATTTTCTGTAGACTAAGTTTATCGTTGATGTCACCTGGGTTATCACTTAATTTATACCTGATTTACACAGTATTTTTTGTGTGTTTATTGATTATTTCTACTAAACTAAATGATATACATGTAGATCTTTCTGTCTAAAGCAGCTTATTAAGTAGTAAGCAATGTACAGTGTATTTATTTATAAATGATTAATTGGGGAGAAGAGGCCAATATCAAATAGAGCGTTGTCATGAATCAATGATGATGTCTGATCAGAGATCAAATGAACTGAAGCTAGACAGTTTAACATTCATGAGCCAGAGGATATTTACTTGTGTACATAAGACTTTGGGGGATTTTCCGACGGGGTTTCCCCTTGTCAGTGGTGCAGGACAGAGGGCCTGACAAGGACAGCTGTCTAGTCGCTTGGATGTGATTTAAGAGTAGGCCATAGTGCCGCTGTGCGGGCAAAATTTCCCACTTAGCACATTGTAAGAGGTATGCCCGTTATCATTAACCCAGTAGGACGTTAAACTAAACCCCATTTCATTTCATTTCATAAGACTTTGGAATTTTTGAATTTTTATTACTTACTTAATCTAATATATTAGAAATTTAGGAAGACACCTATTCTACCCTGGCAATTTAAGTAAAGATCTACTATTGGTATTTGTCGCTAAAATATACAATTTCTCCTAGCTTAATGCATGGCCTGTCTTCATTAGCCCAGGTTGAGCAGAACAGTAGGACATTACACCCCATTTCTATTCATTTTTTAATGCACACTAATATGTACTCAAATTGAATATTTAAAATTTAATTAAGAAAACAAAATCAAAATACAAATGATAGGTAATGCCCCAGCATAGATTCAATCAATTTAAAACAGGCATATCATTAGTTTTTTGTTGAAAACAAAATTTTGATGGATTTATTGCATAGCGAGCAGCATAGATCAATGAAATTTCATTTCCACATATCTTTGTAAATACTGGATGAAATTGAAACATTACTAGACTGATATTCCTATTAGAGATTCATCTTGCACAATATTTTCGTTTGCAAGTGATTCATATTGCTTAAACTTGTGCATTGGGACATTAACTTCAGCTGTGTTCAATTTAATTTACCAGGGGTTTGGATGGTTTTGGCATAGGCACAGGGTCAATAACTGGTTAAGTTGCCCATCCACATATAGGCCAGGATGTACAATAATACATCAAGTAAGGTAACAAACTGAATATCTAAGAGATCATTTCTGTTGATGGGCAACAAATCATAAGCCCACAACAGGTCTGAGTAGTCCATAAAGTTTGTCACATTGTAAATCATTTGGAAAATAAAAAGTAAAATCTTGATACTGTAAAATATCATTGGGTTGTTGATAGGATTCTACGACACAATCAAGGGCAATATGACCTGCAGAAAAGTTAGATGTTAAACCTATTTCATTTTCCAATGTATAAGTGGAAGCCTAGTTTAAAAATTTAATCTGCTAACAAGATATTTAAGTATGAGCTTCAATAGAGGAAAGTCGGGAAACCAATAATTTCTTACATGTAAAATGTTTCTATTAGACTAAACTATTTTGAATTTGTCTAAACATGCATCCTAAAGCAAATTAATACAATGAGTCCAGGGTTGGGCGTGGTCAAAATTTTGGCTCAACTAGTTAAAAAAAAAGTTAAAAAGTCAAAATTACAATCGAACATTAACACATAGCAAATATGTCTACAAATGTAAGATATTCCTGTTTATCCAACATGACACTACAGAATTATCTAATATTTTTAATCATCTTTACTATTTTCATGCAAGAAAATGATTGCAGATGCTTTTTCTTTTACATAAGGTGATTTGTTTCTGTTCATATACAAGTCCATAAGTTGAAAATAATCATACTGAACTCACAAAGAGCTTAGTATATAGATTTCCAGTTAACTCCGCCCAGCCCTGAATGAGTCTTATATTGCTCTAAAATCCATATCACAGTTGTGACATGCTCTAAGCTGATGCACACCCTTTTAAACTTGATTGATAATTTTCATGTCTATTACACATTACTATCCAGCCCCATGAAGATGATAAATGATCGTTTCTTTTTATAATGTCAGTTACACAATAAACACTAACATGACAAAGTAAAGTATAGGTCAAGTAGAGATACCACGAAAATATTTTAAATGTCAATGTCATAGTCTGTATCTCCCTCAGGGAAGGAAACTTTAAGTATCTTAATATTAAGTATCTTAATACATGTTCTATGATACAAATCTGAAATATATTTCTCATATTTATTGGATGTAAGTGAAATCTTAGGTTTGAAAATACTTGACACATATACATTTATTGCTCAGAACACTTTCATATCAAACAAGCATTTATTAAAAAGATACGATAAAACAAATGAAATATATATTAATAGTGTGATATTTGTGTGGTTTTATAATCTCCTCTGTCCTTTCTTAGAAACAATAAATGTATACATTGTTTTTGAGATGAAAGTGCAATGAAGGAAATGGGGTTTAATGTCCTACTTTTCTGAACCAAACTTGCTAATAAAGATGGCATGAAAGTGCCAAAATTGAACTGTTTTACACCAAAATTACATAAATCGCTTTTCCTCAGTACTTTCCAATTTGATCAAATGGAATTATCAAAGAAATACAAAAATAGAGTATATAAATGTTGATATGAATGATTGATGTACTGTATGCCATGCTTATGTAATCAAATGATTAAAACATGTAATGGTTTTCATATTACATTATGTACAAAAACATATTGGTCGACAAAAGCCACTGTTTATTAGTGGAAACCTTTATTGTCAATATGTTGCAGGTTGTAATATAAATATACATGGTTATTGTTGCAAAGGGGGTTCATTTTATTGTCATTATAGTAAACTAAGCCAGCCCTTTGTAAAAAAAAGTATTAGTGTCATTGCACAAATGTTTTTATGTTATATTACCCGACCAGTTGGTGCAGAACAGTAGAATGTTAAACCCCATTTCATATCATGTTGAAGTATATTGTTGTTGCCGCCCTTGTAGGTCCATCCACACTCTACAGGTCACAATTTTGATCCGATTTTGACGAAATTTGAAATATAGGTTTATCTCCCAAATATCTTGGTTCCTTTTGAAATTGGCATGTAAAGGACCGTAACTTAATGGATTATGGCGCCCATAATATGGTCCCTGATTGTTTTAGCTTGTGGACCCTATAGAAGTCACAATTTGTATTCAATTTTAAAAACTGTTTAAACATACCACCTTCACACCCTAATGATAATTGAGTTCAAATTTCGAAAATGGCTGCACCTCGTACCCAAATAATGTAAAAGTATGTAATACAAAGGTTGTAGACCCTCTAGAAGTCACAATTTTTATCTGATTTTAATGAAACTTAAAATGTATGTTTATAACCCAAAGATCTTGGTTCCTGTCAATATTCGTGCATATCGGACCATAACTCCCTGGACTAAGGTCCCTAAGGTCACAATTTTTATCTGATTTACAAAATGTTTAAATATATCACTGCTGGAGTATTTCACCGTTACACCCTAATGATGGTTCAGTTCGAAAATCGAACCAAAACTGCCCGTCAAAATAGCTGCTCCTTGTATGCAAATAATGTAAAAGTATGTAATACCAAGGTTGTGAACCCTCTAGGAGTCACAATTTTTTATCTGATTTTGATGAAACTTAAAATGTATCCAATTTTAATGAAACTTAAAATATATGTTTGTATCCAAAAGTTTTTGTGCATATCGCACCATAACGTCCTGGATTATGGCCCCTTATTGTACAAAAAATTGCATTATTTTTAGCTTGTTCTCTGTCCATCTCTTGCAAAATGTGGGCATATCTTGCATGCCAACCGCTTGTTAGATTAACAGTGGCATATGGGCCAGAGGAACTTTCAGTGCCCCCCATCCCAATATTTATTGATGGAAAATTTGGAAAATGTGGTCGTCAAAATTTGGGCAATCATTGTTAAATTCTAACAAGAATTATTAAGACTAATATTCCAATCCATATTCCACTCTGTTTACAATTTTTCACCTTATAACATTGTTTCTGTTTCTCAGGGTTATTAACACCAGAAAATTACAAGGTATACCTGTGACCCCTCTAACCTTGTGACTGTTTTGTTTTATATAACTAATTCTATTATTCATGAATATTTCATTCAAATTATTTTAATTGTTTCGTTAATATATTTTTAGATATGGATCAGTTACAAGGTAGTGCTGTAGAAGTGAAACAAGTTGATCAAGGCAATGCTGTGATTTTAAATAAACCTAATATAAATAGTGTTCCCGATCCGAGGATAGAATGGCTTGAAAACGAAACAACCATGTCTAAAGAAGATATGTATCATCAAATATCATTAAATCAAGATTTTATTTTATTGGCTGTAAAAATGACGAGTAACAATAAACAATATAAAGCTATTGCTTATAATGTGGCCACAAGTCAAAGGCTTGAAAAATTCTACAATTTAACTGTTACAGGTATTTCATTTTTCACTCTGTCTAATCTTGCGAATTTCAGTGATATTTATGATTCTATGGTTGCATTAACCCTGATAAAGCCAAAACATGAGTTGCACCTTTGTATCCATTTAAAATACTTAAAATCAGGGAATGAATCAATGCTATCTGTGGTGCTTTACTCTTTTATAAAATAACAGAAAGGTGGTTTGTTTAAGTTTGTAATAAGTTTAATTGTGAAGTAAGACACCAGTTACATCAGATAGTTATGGACAACATTGACTGGTCTTTCATCTCATTGATCACCATGATTATTTTATTTAAAATACCTCAAAAAGCTCCCAACCATTATTTAAGTATGTGACGTCAATGTTATCTGTGGTGCTTTACTGTTTTATAAAATAACAGATGGGTCATTTGTTATAAGTTTAATTGTGAAGTAAGATACCAGGGCCCTGTTTCACGAAATTTTAACTAAAGATAAAATCCAAATTTTAGTAGATACTTCAATTTTGATTGGCTAAGCACTAAAATCAATCTAATATTATCCAATCAAATTACTAAAATTTGGATTTTATCTTAGTTAAAATTTCGTGAAACAGGCCCCAGTTACATCAGATAGTTATGGACAACATTGACTAGTTTTTCATCTTATTAATCACTGTGATTATTTTATTTTTACTGCAGGTTTTAAATTTGATGATATATTTGATAAATATATGCACTGAAGATAACTATGCGGTACTTTATATCGCAGTGAACAAAGTTAGAGTTATTTGAATAGGCTCCGTTCTGATTTTGTTTCCATACCATTTGCTATACATATACATGTCTTTTCTTGTTGATTAACAAGAACACAGAGATTGTCCATCCCGTACCTTCCAAAACATGTCCAATGGTACAGGATATTGATCAATGAGTTTTTTCTTGTTTGCAAATGAAAAAAAAAATATGATTATGTGACTGTTTATATATATGTACATGTATAGGTCTTATTTACACACATTGATTTAATGTTTAGGAGTACCGTTAATGTGATTTATTTAATGAAAAGGGTCATTAAGTGATTTTCCAATCAACTTATAGCCTGTTCAGGCACTTAAGTTAAACTGGTTTAAACCAGTTTAACTTTGTCGTCTGAATGCACATGTGGGACAAATAAACCAGTTTAAAAACCCCAGCTCGCGACCTGTCTTCGAGAAGGCTTTTTTATTTTAAACTGGTTCAACTTGGCCGTCTGAACGGGTTGGCTTAAAAACCCCCGGCTCCAGCTTGCTTTGAGCATGTGCAGTATGAAGTAAGTTAAATTCCTATGAAAATATCAGGGTCAGACAGTGCCATTCTTATCGAAAGCGTGCGAGAACTGAATAAAGAATATGAAGCTACCCATGCACATTTAACTCTGACCGAAGAGGTCAGAATACATATAGTTAAACTGGTTTGGCTTATAGTACGTGTAAACACAACACGATGCTGTCTTAAAAACCCTGGCGATTTTGAACTGGTTTAAAAATAAGCGTCTGAACGGTATATAACATTCATAGTGCACATCTTTAATTTTTTGTTTTCTTGTACAGCTTCAGGTGATCCTAGTTCCCATATTCCACCACAGTTTGTAGTTCAACCCCAAAATACCTTTGCTACAATAGGTGATAAACAAGTTCAACTAGAATGCGTTGTTAATGCAAGGTGAGATTTTCTTAATTTAATTTTTTGAAAATAATTTTGATTAAATAAAAATTTGATCTTTGAAAATTTCACTAAATTAGATTTTAATATTTAATGTTATTGATATATTTGATTGGATGTTCTTGCAAGTGAATTTGAATAGATTAAGTTTAGATATGTGTAACTCATTGCCTGATGTACAAAATAAATATATAAAATTCAGATTTATTAATGCCCCAAATTTTAATATTATATGCACAATGGGACAGAAAATAATTTTACCTGGGCAGTGACAAGTCTTCCTGACAAGTTAGGGTGGGTTGGATGGCCGACCGAATGGTTAGCATGAGCACGCTGTATCATAAGGTCTGTCATTGAGTCACCTGCCATGGTTTTGATTCCCTGGTTGTTCGTGATAAGGAGAAGGGTCGCTTGTCCAACTTTGTGGGTTTTCTCCTGATCCTCCACTTTCCTCCCACTGCTAAAGACCCCTACACGCAAGCAAATTATTGAAACACAACTGAACCATGTGTTAGTCCCCAAATGACCTAGATTGTGTCAAGTGGACGTTTAACCCCATTTTTTTCTCCTCTCTCTGTCAATTTAGTACATGTATTTTATATAATTTTTATTAAGTGAAACATTTTATTTTATAAATTTCAAACAGACCTATCAACAGTTTGAGAATCGATTGGTATGTGTATAGAGGATCAACTAGAACACAAATAGAACAGAATAATAGGTATATCATCAGTGCCTTTAAACGTCAACTGTTCATACAGAATCCAGTAAAGAGTGATGAAGGAATGTATGAATGTGAGGCTAGATTAGATATCGTTGGTGGACCAACTTACGCTTCTATAACAGCTGAAGCTAATATCACTATTAGAGGTAAAATAATTTACAAGTGTTAATTAGACAGACATTTTGTATTTACAGTTATTATTCGTAGCACCAAGAACCTTTTTCTAAGGGAGACCATAAATTAAACTCCAAAGAAGCATGACACTGAAAGAGTCTACTTACAAAATTTATTTGATGAACACCATACCCCATTTTCTGCAAATTACGGCATTTTAATTATGTCTCAATCAATATTAAACAAATATTTCATTTTGTGCACTTTCCATTGTTCAAAGAATATAAAATGTTCTGTACAAGAGAGATCTAGGAAAGAACCTATACATTTAAAAGAGTAAATTTATACTAGAAATGGCCTCAGATACAAGGAAATCAACTTCAAACTTTCAGAATTTTCGGGGGGGAGAACCAAATACCCCTCTAAAGGCTCTGTGGTTAGTCATGCCAGATCAGCCCACCCCCACCCCCACCTTCTCCCCCCGGCTCATTTTTCCGCACACGCCCCTGGAATGAAATTTTCAGTATATATATTTTTTCATTTTCTGTTTTTGAACCATTATAGCAAAACCAGTCAACTCTTTATCAAAATCTTGCATAATGTGTCTTTAAACTTTCATCCTATTACAAACAAAAATGTGGACACACAATGTTATTAGACCAATGGCCTCCTTATTTCTACTCAATATTTTTAAATCACTTAAAATTGTTTGTAGAAAACAGACTCCAAATTGAATCTGTGACATTTTTGAAAACATTTTGTTGATTTTGTATTAGAATATCATTGACATACTGCAGTCATACAATATTGTTATTGTGCAAGCAGGTTTAACGGGCTTGTCAAAACAAGGTGATGTTTCTAATTTGTTTTAGAAAACATGCTATTTTAATGAATATATGGTAATATTATATTATTGAAGTAGACTTGAAAATCAAAGATGACAGTGGAGTATGACATGTCCATTTTATGTGGCTCGATATTATCTTGTAGAATAAATATTCATTGAATAAATCAATAACATTACTAAAATAGTAAGATATCAGTTTCTATCCGAGGAGGGGTCTAACACATGCATGAGTTTGGTCCCATATCTGTACATGATCTGAAGTAGTGAACATTGTGTAACTTTGAAGGTTCTCCCCGGTTACTCACTACTAAGACCCTGAAAACAAGCGAATTATAGAAATAAAAATGAACTGTTGAATGGCTGTTAAACCTCATTTTTCTCACCAGTTTTTGTCCATGATACCTAGATTGAGGCATGACTCGTTCCCATCTAAGATTTGTTGAATTTGCTAGATATTTAATTCAGAATGGTAGAGACTACTGATGTTGTGGTAGCATCTATTTGAAATTTCTTAATGATATGTAAATATATTTTTCATACCAGATGTACCTCAGATAGTTACACAATTAGATGGCGTAATGGAGAAAGATTTCAGTGAAACGGCTATATTAACATGTCAAGGAATAGGAACACCTGAACCAACCTTACACTGGTATTTTAATGGTCGTGCTGTAGAGACTCTTACAACTGGAAGGTAAGTTTAATGTAAATTTCATTGTAGTTTTTAGACAATGTATAGTCAATCAGATGGGACAAAAAAGCAAAGTCCAGTGTACAACATATTGGTGTGCATGTATAAGAATCATTGACAGTTGGAATTCGATATAAGAATAGGCTGTATAGTGCAGATATCTGGGCAAAATTTTCCTATAGCACACTGTTTGGAATATGCCCACCTTCATTAGCCCAGTCGGTACAGAACAGTAGGATGTAACACTCCATTTCATTTCAGTTCATTTATAGTTTATAAATGATTTAAATAGAATTAAACATTGAAGCAATGTCTATGACGATCATATCGAAACTGATTTATTAGCAAAGTGTCGTTATATTAAGCCCATTCCATTCCAAAAGGTTATAATATTAAGTCAAATGAAGATTCAAAGACCGTCTCTTCAGTTTAATCGCTCGTTTCAAACATCAGAATCACAAACTCTACAGCAAACTTTTTTTTAACATTTCTCTAAGGGAATACCGGTACTATGAAATTATCTTAATTTTAGTTTGCATTTTGTTTCACAGACATTTTGGTTTTGCGAATGGAACATTAAAGATAGTAAATGTAGACTTACCTGATGCTGGAATATATCAGTGCTTTGCTCGAAATGATGTTGGAGAAGACTCAGGATCCATGTGGCTACAAGTCAATAGTATGTATATTTAATATTTATAATTTCTGCTGAGAAACCAGTCATTTGATAAATATTTTTGTAATTGTAGACTACCACAATATATCAGTAGCCTAAACTTTAAAATCCAGTCTGTTATTGAACCACCATAATCCAGAGTTTTGAATCACATAACTATGTATATTTTGCATTAGTATTTGACATTGCATGTCAGTATATCAGTTATTGCATATGGTTCCATATAACAGATTAATGTATATTTGGTTGTTTTGAAGTACGTGTATCATGTTATTGTATATTGGGTCATTATGTATTAAACAGTATGTATATCAAATTTGTGTATATTTGGTTATTGGGTATTGCACAGTATGTACATGTATATCAAATTAGAGATATTTGGCTATTGAATATTACACAGTATCTATATCAAATTACTGTATATTTGGTCATAGTTTATATTAGAATGTGTGGTATATATTTTTCCTGTAGACAAAAGAAATGATAATCCTTTCTAAATTGTAGGTTCTCCTCCTAGACTGACCAGATCACCCAGTAATTTAACAATAGTAGAAGAACGTGAAGCAAGATTTCCTTGTGAAGCATCAGGAGCACCACAGCCTGTTATATCATGGGTTAAAGGTAAGTTTTATAGAATAATACATGTAATTACTAAAGGCAAATTAATAATTATATTTCTAGTTTACTCTTATCTATTTTAATTCATCTGCAGCTCTATTTTGTCAATTTGATCCACTGATATCTTCTAGATTGATTATCTTTTTACATATTATATACTTTGATTTTCAGTAACAAGTGCTGGTGATCAAACTATTGTTAGTGGTGGTAGTATTCAGGTATTAGAAAGAGCATTGTTGATAACAACTGCCCAGAAATCAGATACAGCTGTATATAGATGTATTGCTACTAATTTAAAGGGAGAAGCAACAGCTGAAGCTCAACTACAAGTTATAAGTAAGTTCAGGTTCAAGTATAAGATCTCTGGGGAAAAAATGTGAAGACATATCCTATACCTGTTACATCTAAAAATATTGATCATTTGGAAATGATTGTTATGGCAAGATATATGGGTTATGTAAATTCATTAGAATGCTCGATCACCACCTAGTTTTTTTTTAGTAACCTGATAAAAGTAACTACTGTTTGTAATCTTTCCGAGAAGGCAAATGAAATGCAGCAATAACCGTCCGATTCCATTACGATACTCAATGATTGTTAGTCAAGAAGCTCGTCTGCACCTCCACTGAACAATTATACACTGCTATATCTTTAAAAGCTTATCACAGATCTTCAGATGGTTGCTTGGGACTGAATTAACAAATTTATGTCAGATTTTTCCTTTAAATTTATTAACATGGCAACAGTTTAATGGAGCCTGTGTTTATTTGGGACTGGAATTTTATCATTTGGCTTTTAAATAAACATTGTTTCTGCATCCTATTCCATCAAGCATTTCTTGACTGCCAGCTGAATAGAAAGACAAATTGATTTTAAAAGTTTGTTCATGTGGCTATTTCATGCGATCTACAATTTCGACAAAGATGAAATATTTCCTTGTGTTTTAGATCAAATCTTAGCGTAAAAATAAAATCTGAAATAACAATCAACAACTTTGTGTGTTGCTAGTGTCCAGTTTACCACGTTTTGTTTACAGATTAAAGATATTTCGGCAGATAACCAAACATAGGCATGTCTTTATTTATTTCATTGAAAAACAAATAATCAACAATATTGTTGTTATTCCCGAGTTGACAGAGCCCCATTTTTATTGATTGGTATTGAATAAAAGATGATTTTGGTTTTTTTTCAGCAAAAACTCAAATCGTTCGTCCCCCACAAAATATAACAGCGATATTAAGCACATCAGTAACATTAGAGTGTGGGGTTAAGAATGATGATTTGATAACACCACAATGGCAGTGGTATTTCTATAAAAGGTCAACACAAGAAGAAGAGACAATAGCTAGTTTGGGTCATAGATTAATAACCAACGATGGTAGTCTAATTATTAGCGGTGTATCTGGTATTGATATAGGGAAATATAAATGTTTTGTTATGTCGGAGGGTGGTAATGACAGTCGTATTGCAACATTAATGGTTGTTGGTAAGTATTTTTTCATTATTCATTTTTCCTTTCTGTTTTTTGTTCTTAGTAACTTATTTTTAGGGAGACCAGTTAACTTATATGTCGACTTGGTATAGCATAAATTAATTTGGGATTTCTTGTTGGATGGTTGAATGATTAACATCATCAGAGTTTATGGCAGTATAACAAAGATTTACGGACAAGATTTTCATCAATTCTGTTCTGAATCTGCTAATAAAATAGCCGACATAAAATTGATTCTACTGGTCACTGTCTTTATTTGTTGGTTGGATGGCTGAATGGTTAGAACATGCACGCTGTATCATAGGTCTGTCATTGAGTCAACTGGCGTGGTTTCGATTCCCCGGTTGTACGTGACAAGGATTTGGATCGCTTGTTCAACCTCGTGGGTTTTCTCCAGGTCTTCCAGTTTCTTCCCACTGCTAAAGACCCCTACGCGCAAGCGAATTATTGAAATAAAATTGAGCCATGTTAGTTCCGAAATGACCTAGTTTGTGTCAAGTGGACGTTAAACCCAATTTCTCTCTCTCTCTCTATCTTTTTTGTTTTCGTTGATAGAATTGAAGTCATTGACTATATTCATAGGATAAAAATTTATTGATGATGGCTTGATATTTGTGATATATGTATATTGTTTTACAGAGTTACCAAGTGCTCCAGTAATATCTAGTGTGGTACTACATAGTACACAATCAAACAGTGTTATTGTTAGTTGGAGTCCTACATTCGATGGTAACAGTCCTATCAAGCGATATGTTATTAGTTATATAGTCAACGATCAAGGTAAACTATTATAAATTGAACAATATTTTGATCTCTTCCAAACATTATTGTGAAGCATTGGAATTAATATCTTGTTAATACATTTCTTTTGTGTGTTTAGACAAGGTTGCATTTCTGAATTCCATCTGCCTATCCTATAGATCATTTTAAAGTTCCTAAGATTCTTTTGGACCAGCAAGAGGAATCCTGTCCTATTGAAGATTTATTAAAGATATATGATAAGATTTATAATAATATTACTATATATTTTCATTTTATAGATAGTATATGCATGTCAGACCTATTTCTCATTTATTTCAGCTGGTGCTGCACCTGAAAATGCAAGATGGGACCCATATCCAGCTATTATACCACCTAATGTTACTACATATGTTGTATCTAATCTACGTGCCTCACGTTATTATACATTCCGTGTTAGTGCTATAAATGCTGTAGGTGAAGGTCAACCAAGTGTCGGTAAACCCACTCCCCCTATACAACTACCTCCACAACGTAAGTCATACAATACTATACACAAAAACATACACAAATCTGATGTCTTTAAAGTTTCAATTTATTTTCTTGTACAATATTGACATCTAACATATTTTTGTTCAGATCGCATGATTTTATTGACTTATTAAATTGTTTGGGTTCATTTTGTAATGAATTATAGAAATTTTAAAACCAAACTCTTTTGATCCAATAGAATTTTATTAACATATTCAGAAAAAAAAAACATACTTTACTGAATATTAATAATGACCTTGTTTTTCACAGCTCCAAATGCTCCTCCTAAAAACTTCTACTGCAGTCCACGACCAAATAAAGAGATATTAGTACAATGGCAACCACCAGAAGAAGATACGTGGAATGGTGATTTAACAGGATATCAGATACGTTATAAAGTGGATGGTCTTCCTGATTCCGCAGAAAATAGGCAGAATGTTACCAGTTGGTCAACTACGAATTATGTTTTACGAAGTCTTGTGTTTCACAAAGAATACCATGTTAAAATAGCTGCTATGAATATCAAAGGTGTTGGAGTTTTCAGTAATGTATTTAAAGTTTGGACCTTAGAAGGGAGGCCAACATCTCCCCCAAGAAATGTTTCCTTTGAGGCTATTAATTCAACAACAATCCGAGCAAGTTGGTTGTCGCCAGATCCTCTTGAAATTAACGGAGTAAACCAGGGATATACTATAGAATTACGTCGTCAATCAGTACCTCAAATGGAAAGAGCTATTTTTGTGCCTTCTAATGCAGATAATCCACTAGGTCCTATGTCGAGTGAAATTTATGGTTTATTAAAGTATACACAATATGTTATACGGATTACTTGTCGTACAACTCAAGGTTCAGGACCTGCTAGTGTGGAACAAACAATTCGTACACAAGAAGATGGTTAGTATAGTCCAGAACATTTTCCACATCATTTTTCTTTTTCTCTAACGATGGTGACAATGATACTTTCTATCCAGATTCCTATTTATTATGGTAGTATTGTTACAATTTAAAAAGTCTCTGCTAAGTATTACAAAAATGGGGTTTAATTAATGTTTACTCATTTCAGCATTAAATTAATGTACCAGCGCTTGGCCATTTGCACTGACAATTTGGGATTCACTCACAGTACTTACTTTACAGCGAGACCCTTATAGCAACTGCTTAAATTTCATTAATTCTTTTGTTCAGCGGGGTATTTTTACTCGATTAATGTTTGTTAATTATCTACATTTATTCTTTATAGTACCTGGTGCAGTAGGTGATCTCAAATTTGATCAGATATTGGATAGTTCTGTACGAGTGAACTGGTCTGTTCCTGCTGAAGTAAATGGTATATTAGAAGGTGAAATTGATTATAACATATGCCTTATTGATTTAAATTGTATATTATGTAATCTTTATGACGTAATATGCAAATAAAAAAGTTACGTTGAAAGTTATGATAAAAAGCCCCCCCCCCCCCCCCCATCTAGTTATAAGTTAAGATGATTAGTTTTGATAACATCTTATCAATGGATAGTGAAGTGACTTGTGGTAAAATGCAAAAACACACTTTCAGAAATGATAAATTGATAAAAGATATTTATTTTAAGCAAATACTATTTCAGTCTATTAATTTTATAGAATATCATTTATAAAACAACTATTGAAATCCATTGACTGACTTCATTTCTTTCAATACAATGTGCATGGCTTGTGAATTCAATTTTGAAACATTTAGACCCCCGATTTTTCTAAATTTGTGCCCTGAATTAAAATTTGAACAAATATAGACAAATGAGAGGGCTTCTTAATTTCATGCATCAATAGTTTTCTTTTAATTACAGGTTATACATTATTATATGAGAAAAAGAATCAGTCTGACACCCGACAACAAATAGATCTACCTCCATCTTTAACAACCTATACTATAAGACGATTAATACCAGTAACAAATTATACTATATATGTATATGCTAGTACAAAGAAAGGACCTGGACCATCTAAATCAGCTGATATAGAATCCAATGTTCCACCAGGTAAATTTAGACTATTCCTATTTTTTTTATCACAAAAATGCTGTAGAAAGAAAAATCGATTTTCATGCTGACTAAACTCCATCTGGAGTTTGGAGAGAACTTATAAAGGCCTTTGCCTGTGTTCAATCCAATTCCGTTTATTGAATAAAATATTGTTTAAACTAAACACTGTCTATACCAATTCAGGAATTTATGTGATCAATTTAGATTTGGGCCAAATCCACAAAGGCTGGTGGTATGGGTTGAAGCAGACGACCCTACTCATAGCTCAAATACTGTTAAGTCCGAATTGGTAGTAAAAATTCCATGGAAATGTTTACTCTATTATTTTGTTTTTGTAGAGAAACCTGGTCCTCCACGCAATCTTGGTATAACTAACATAGAATCGACTTCTGTACTTATACAGTTCGGACAAGGTTATAATGGTAAAACCTCTATTACACTGTGGATTGTTGAGGCTCTTGTGGGGTCAAGTACAACTTGGCAGGAGATATACACTATATCTGATCCTACAGCAAGTCAAATAATTGTCCTTAACTTGACCCCTTTTACACGCTACAGTTTCCGTATTACTGCTGTAAATATTGTGGGTAGAAGTAACGCTAGTCAGCCAACAAGATTTGTTCAAACCAAGATGGCTGCACCGGGTATTCCACCTGGGAATGTAACTGTTAGAGCTCTCAATTCCACAGCTCTTAGAATCAGTTGGACAGTAAGTAGTTTTTATTGTAATATATACTGAGACGCAAAGAAAACACACCGTTGATTTGAGAGGGAGTGCTAGCAACACATAGTACAGCAGAAATGTGATTTTTGGCATGATTGTAAGTTGGATATATACCGACATCAAAACTTTAATCCATCGAGGCTGTAACAACTTTATATTGGAAAGTTTGCAAAAAAGCTAAAAATCCAGAGTCTGTAACTTGTGTCTCCACCTCTAGCATCCACACACACTATGCATTGTAACAGTATGGAGGAGATAAAGCTCTGAATGGCTGCTTATGGGATCCTTTTCTGCTCTCATTTAGAAATCCTAGAAGAAAAACATCAATATTGTCCTATAGATGCTCAATTGGTGTTATATTAGGAGATAGTGATGGTCTTTCAAGCACTGCCAAGTTGATTGAAACGTGCGGATATGTCATCTGAAAAATAGCACGACTTAACATATCAACACATTTTCCGTGTAGTACAGGGCATTCATTCTGCCTCTACACAATATAAAGTGCTGTCTAAGCCACATCCTTCCATCAGTTTCAAGATGGTGTGATTCCGTCCAAACCTTCAGTCGATGTTTCTGGTACTCATGCCTATCTTCGTTAGCCCTATTGATGCAGAAGAGTAGATTGTTAAAACCCTATACATTTGTATGATTTATTTTTCAGCCTGTACCTCGACGTGAGTGGCATTCTGAAGACATTGGTTATAATCTAGATTATCGTATGACACCTAATAATAGTACTATACCTGATTCTACATTTACTACCCATAAAATAGTTAATGGTATGAATGTAGAGAGTTATATATTGACTAATTTACAAGAATGGATAGAATATGATGTACGAATGTCATCGTATAATACGGTTGGTACCAGTTCATCTGGTCCTGTCACTACAGAACGTACAAGAGAATCCGGTGAGATACATACAGCTATTTCTTTATTCTAACACATTTGAAAGACATTTTCCATACTAAGTTAAAAATTGTGTTAATGAAGTCACTAGGTACCTGGGGCCTGTTTCACGAAATTTTAACTAAGATAAAATCCAGATTTTAGTAATTTGATTGGATAATATTAGATTGATTTTAGTGGTTAGTCAATCAAATTTGAAGTATCTACTAAAATTTGGATTTTATCTTAGTTAAAATTTCGTGAAACAGGCCCAAGAACTACCAGTTGTCTTTGGGAAGAGTGGAAACAAAACTAAAAGTTGATCTCGGCACACAAAATAAACAAATTTCACTGATTTATTACAAGCATCACCATTTTCAGATTGAAACATCTGGTAGTGACAATGACATCGTTAATGTTTTCTTTTGATTAAGAGTAGCACTCGGAACAGGGAGAACCTAGAATTTTTCTAAAATTTGATCAAAAGTTGTTGTCATCATTTTCTACATTTATTTAAACTATAGAAACTGATGAACCATGGAGAATTTTTCTGGTGTAGAATATGTATCTTCTTGGATTTTATTAAAGCAAATTGTTAAAAGTTTCTATTTTTATTTATTATAGTGCCTAGTGCAAGTCCTAGTAATGTAGAAGCATTACCTTCATCTTCTACTAGTATTAATATAACTTGGGGTCCAGTACCTTTCTTACAACAGAATGGTATGATACAAGGCTATAAGGTAAGAAATATAATATTTAGCGCACATCATTTTATTCGCAATAAATAAATGAACAGTAGATATAAAAAATATTGTATCGGTCAGTAAATGTCAACATTGATTCATACACAAATTGTATTGGTCAGTAAATGTCAACATTGATTCATACACAAAAGGTTGTGTTTTGGGTTAAGTAGATTGGCTTGGAATGATAATATTAGCCTAGGTAGTACCACGAGAATGATTTTTGTTCAGAAAAATGAGGATCATACTAAAATTAAAAGAACTTAGGTTTCCCAGTGGTTATATTGGTGAAATTTATGAAGACATGCAAGATTTTGTCTATTTACAGCAGATATAAAGTATGTTTCTTTATTCGTATGGTAGGCATTATACCGGTTTTCAAGTAAATACCGGCACCGCAGTATTTACCAAACCCAGATTGTATTGTGACACAGCATTATTCTACAAATCTAGTTGGATTAGCAATTAATTGCAACACTTAAAAGGCCAAATGTTTTCTATTAGATTTATGAGACTTGTTTAATTTCATTTTGTAAGTTTGTTATAAATAAATGTTTCTGTAGGTTGAATATCAATCTGAAGCAGAAGGAATACCAGCTAAATATGAAGATGTAGAAGGCAATGCATCTATGGGATTAGTATTAACAGGTTTAAGAAAATTTGTAACATATCAGATAAAACTACAGGCTTATACTAGAATGGGAGATGGTGTACTTAGTCGACCAGCCGTAGCACAGACAGAAGAGGACTGTAAGGATACATTATTTACTTGTAAATTATATTTGGATGATTGGGAATATAAATTGATTCATTAAATTTGAATATAGTGCCGACTCGTGAAAGTATTTTACCAAACATCACTTTTAAAAAGATGAGAATGACTGAACATGAAAAAGCCAATCAGAGATGTAGATAGTCGCTGGTAGCCTGGTAGATGATAGAAATGTCTATTTGTCTTAAATTTTGAGATATTTGAAACTTTATTTCCCTGGTCGGGAAATTAAAATATTCAATAAAAATGATAATTTCTGAGTATTGCCTAATCCCTGTTTATGCGTTTTGTCATATCTGACTACAACATTTGTTAACTTTGTGAACTCCTTAAATGAGAAGTAGTATCAAGAGTAAGCATACCTCACCTCATGCAATATACCCAGCAGTTGATGATCAGCAGGTCTATGTAGTTTTGACCTTGCAGGTTTCTTCCTGTTTCTGCTTCTTCATATACCATATGTTAATCCAAAAACAATATCACCTCTGTCGCTACCTCTTTCTCTTCCCTTTCCGATATCAATGGGTAATTTTTGTCAGTCAGTACTTGGCTGGCAATAATTGTCAATTAAATTGTATATCAGAAAAATTAAAATCCAAATGTTTTCTATACTTTCAGTACCCGGTCCCCCAATTATAATATATTTTCCGATGGTTAACTACAGTGCTGCTCAGATAGTATGGAATCCTCCAAGTGAACGCAATGGTATTATTACGGGATATAAAGTGTCATATAGAAAGAAATCTGATAATATAGATATTAGTTTTGTAGAGCTGGGTCATTCTACATTAGATCATACAGTAACTAGTCTAACTAGAGAAACCTACTATATATTTACTGTAGTAGCTAGAACAAGATTGGGATGGGGTGAGAAAGCTGAGGTTGAAGTCTATACAATGGTTGATAGAGGTATGTAATATTTATAATGATTGAAATATACATAACAATATGAATGAAATGAAATACGGTTTAACATCATACAGTTCTGTGCCAACAGGGCTTATGAAGACGGACAGTATGAATGAATAAGTTCGAAATTTTGATGGACTGACATACAATAATTATATTGCATTTTGATTTTGAGTTACAAAACTTATTGCATTTTGATTTTGAGTTACAAAACTTTCGCTTGATCTGAAGGTCTACCGCTGTTGAAAGATAATTATGATCGTTTGTTGATGTGGAGCTCCCAGAGCTAATTGAGTTTTTGGATGAATGGCACCAGAATTGAACAATGCCATAAGTAACAAAACTCTTTTTATAGCATATAGTCAAATCCATGTTAACCCTAGATCGCAGTAGTGATCACATTGTTATTGGTCACCTATATTATTAGCAAGAAATCTTTAAATTATTTTATGGTAGGAAGCTACAAACAGACTCACTGATGATAGTATAGACTAAAGATGGGATTGTCAGTCAAAAATTTTACTCCCTATTCTTTTCTGTGATCCTTAATTCTACTGGGATGTTTCCTATTTGCATATAGATATTGAGGACTGTAATGACTTTTTAGATTCTAACATTGCCTTTTTCTATTAATAGCTAGACCAGATAGTCCATCTAAACCACAGATTGGTAGTTCTCAGGTATACTCTCGAAATGTTACAATAAGTTGGAGTCCGGGTAATTTTAATTATGGTCCACTTCGAAACTATACAATACAGTATAAACCACGTAATGGTGACTGGATTACCTACCCTAAGAAGACTCCACCACATGAATCATCTCACACAGTTACAGAGTAAGAATTTCATCATTTATTCTCCTTATTTGTATTATGAAATATGACATGTGTCCATTTAAAATTTGAACAGTTCATATGATGTATGATGTCATTACAGTATGGTTGATTCCAACAAAGAACCTTTCATTTGGTATAATTGTTTTATTCAGTTGAATCTGAAAATTTGTCTTTAAAAATGTCCTTTTCATCACTTATGTTTAGTTCTTGGGTATTTAGAATCTAGTTAATGTGGGAACTTTAGTCCCAATATGGAGCTGCTGTGGTGAATTAGGTCTGGTTTATGATACACATATATTAATGCACAACATTTACCTCTTGTGTTTAACCAATTTCATTTTCCTTTCAGTTTACGACCTAATACGTGGTATCAGTTCCGAGTGGCTGCAACTAATGATATTGGAACAAGTGACTTCAGTTTAGCTTCAGCAGATGTACAAACACTACCTGATAGTAAGTCTTTGTTTAACTTGTCAATGATTTTTAACAATACATTTATAGATATGTAGAACAAAATATCATGATCAGAATTGGTATGAAAACAAAAAAGCTAATTTTGTTTTGTATTTAACAGAACCTGAAGGGGCACCTTTAAATGTAAGAGTATTTGCTGTTACTATGACATCTATAAATGCAACATGGGAGGTAAGATAATCCGCAAGTTTCCATTATTTATATGTTTTCAAGTTTATTTGATTTTTTAAAAATTCAAACCCATTTAAAAGGCTTGACAGGCCATAGTACATAGACAATATAAATTTTGGGGGAAAAACTCCAATAGTTTGGTAAGTGCCAATACGAAATACATATTGGTATGTCAAATTGATCCCAAGAACGTTAAAGTATTATGTTAAACTCTGCATTGATGAGCAGCGTTTTTGATAAACGACTATGGAGAACAAATTTTGTACCAAGTGATGGTTGACCATTGTATTTATATAACTTATATATGTAATTTTTATCAAACTTTTAATTTTTTTTTACAAGCAACCACCCCTTGATATGTGGAATAGTGACAATATATTAGGTTACCGACTTCGATATAAGAAAGAATACTCACTTCAATGGAGATTTAATATTAATGATTGTGTATGTCCAATAACAGTCACTGATTTAGATACCTCACAAACCTATATTGTCAATATTCAAGCATATAATTTGTGGGGAAGTGGCCCTTGGAGTGAGACACTATTTGTCACTTTGTCAGTTGGTAAATAAAGAAGCATTATTCATATTCGATATTGTAATATCTTCTCTATTTTAGTGCTGCTTTTTACACTTTTTGTTGATTTATGTTTACGATTTTTTAGTTACACTTATTAATGTGTTTATATACATGCAGAATTTAACTAGATACTCACATATTTCATAGGATACAAATTCTATATTGATGAAGTAAATTATTAGATTTGCTTCTATTCAATAAGTCTTTAATCAATCTTTTGGGTGGCCAAGTGAGTGTTCTGATGTGTGTGCTCTCAATCAAAAGGCTTGGTATCTATGCAAGTCAAGAGATAGATACTAGGTTTTATGTGACATACACATTATATAACCTCTTGGGTTTTCTTTCTCCAGGTACTCACTCATTTCTAAATTTACTCCGGGGCGTAAGTGAATTATTGAAATAAAGATATACCATATGTTGGTCCCAAAATGACCTAATTAAAGCCCACATACACATGTGCTGTTCTTAAATACTTATTTGACTATCGAATGAAGTTTTAAACATACGACGTATTACGCTGAAATTTGTGAGATATATTAGTTTAATACTGCATGTGATAAAGCTTATTATTTTTTTCTTCTCACCTTCAATTTTATATGGTCAAAGGTGTACCTTGTTTTTATGTTGTATTTTCTTTAGTTGGACATATCTTTATTTTCTTTGGTTGTTTCTCCTTATTTTATTTAGCCACCTCAATCTTCTACTTGGAATGGTGCCATCCAGGCTTATATAGTTCAATACAGACAACTTTCAATGTTAGACTACGCGGAAGAAGTAGTTCCTTATAATCGCTATTCAACTGTTATATCAAAACTTGTTAAGTCTGTATATTATGAAGTGCGGGTTTTGGCCAGAAATAATGTTGGTCGGGGGCCACCTAGTAAACCTACTACAATATTTGTTGGAGAAGCTGGTAAGACAATAATTTGTAATTAAATCTCTGTCATTTTGACTTGAAAATGCTTTCAATCAAATTTTGCATGTTTGAATTGCAAATATCCGTCTATGTTCATTTTTTTTAATTTATGTCTGCTATTTTTCCTCTGTGTTTTCTTTTTTTCATAAATCACAATGCCAACATTGAGGGGTTCTGGGGAATATTTTAATAGAATATTGAGATTTGTGGTATTTTTAACAATGAATAAACATGAATATGATAATTCCACTGTGATATATTTGTGTAAAATTAATTCTTATTTATGATCCTTACGATTGAGAGGGTTGGATGGCCGATGGTTAGCACGTCCGCGCTATATCATTAGATCTGTCATTGAGTCAACTGCCATGATTTCAATTCCACGGTTGTTAGTGAAAAGGTGTAGAGTCGCCTGTCCAACCTCGTGGGTTTTCTCCAGGTCATCTGGTTTACTCCCACTCCTAAAGACCCCTAGGCGCAAGCGAATTATTGAAATAAAATTGAACCATTGAAATGAATACAATGTTTAATATACAGTAATTGTGTATCTGTATTACTTACTAAATGGTTTAGATGTATTTGGATGTCTATTTATTTGTTTTTCCCCTCAGCTCCAACCGCTCCTCCAACACAAGTTAGAATGGAAACCATTAGTTCATCAGAAATTAAAGTATCCTGGCAACCACCTCCTCCAGATACACAAAATGGTGGACTTTCTGGTTACAAGGTAAGAAGTGAATGGTTTAAAGATTTCTTTCCCTGTAGTACAACAATATTACAATATACTCTTCATTACAACAATACACTCTTTGAAACCTCTCTCCAATAATTTCTCACTTGATCTGCAGTTCACCATTCACTAATTCAGTAATCAATGCTTTTGTGCATACTACTTACCAACCTAGCATTGAATACTATAGTACATCAATCTATCAGTTCCTCAATCCATTGTTTCATACATCAATTCATCCATTTTTATCCCACAATGGTACAAGGTACATCAATTTAACAAACCCTATCTAGGTCTGCCCAGTACATCAATTTTAACAAACTCTTCCGTGGTCTGCCCAGTACATCAATTCATATGTTAAGTCTACAGTTTTGACTGATCGATCCTACGTTTATTATTTTATAATTTAAGGTGTTGTATTGGAGTAATACTACTGATGATGGTGGAAAGATAACTCCAGTGATAGTAGTTAATACATATGTTATATTAGAAAAACTGGAGATATATACATATTATTATGCTACAGTACTAGCTTATAATCTGGCTGGTGAAGGACCCAAAAGTTCTATTCAGTCAGCTAGTACTGATGAAGCAGGTAGGTGTTAATCCAGGTTGTATTCACTGTTTTCTAGTTGAACATATGTGAATAATAAAAACTTAGAAGAATTATGCTGTGTTACTGGGTGCCCACATATTTGTGATAAGTTAGATAATTGAAGCCTGGATTGATCTTTAAAAAAAATAAATATTGTTCAAAAAATGCAAACGTGTATATTATAGATGAATATTATGTAATTTCAGTAAAGCGGTGGACACACTAGCCGAATGATTCGGCCGAATCAATTGACAGTGAAATTCTCCTAGTGTGTCCACTGTCATTCTGTCAAATTTCTATTCGACCGAATCAAACATGTTTGATATATTTTCCTAGTGTGTCCGCTTCGTCAAAGCATTCGCCCGAATGTAGAATTCATAAGCCAATCACCACTCATCATCCACTCATATCGAGAAGTCACTTGATTGTTTGAAGAAATATAGACGCCAGCGTGTTTAATCATGTGACGTGAAAGGTGATGCAATCGACTGGTGAATCCGGCGAAGCAATTGCCTAGTGTGTCTACCCATTCTGCCGAACGATTCGGCCTTATGATTCGGCTAATGTGTCCACTGCTTAACATTACAGATGAGTATTTTGTATTTCAGTAACATGTGTATATTACAGATGAGTATTATGTATTTCAGTGCCTGGTGTAACTGGACCACTAGTATTTACCAATATAACATTAGAAAGTTTAACTGTGTCATGGTTACCACCAGATGAATCTAATGGTATTATAATCAAATATGAACTGGTCTACTTTTTAAACAAACCAGATGATGGTAAGTATATCAGAACAATATCATGTTACTAATTCTCAGAATAAAATATGGGAACTTAGATTATTATTTCATAGTAATAGTGACCTTAAAGGGGCTTATGTATTGTTTAATGGTCGAGAGCGAGACATTAAGTAATATATTGTAACAACAAGAGGACCGTCAGGTCCGAGTGTTTTTACAATATATTACGCAATGTCTCAGCTCGAGACCATTAAACATCTTAAAATACAGACACTCTGCACGTGCGTTTACAGTAAAATACGTCAAATATTTGACAAGGTACGATTGGCAAGTTGCCCGTACGATTATTTGAAATAATGGTACGCCAACATCAAAGGGTGACGTCACATCTGTATTTTAAGTAAGATAAGACAAAGAGTTGACAGTTTTTGCTATAATAGTTTAAAAAGAGATAATGAAAAGGGAATATGTTGAAAATTTCAATCAGATTACTTCACTCTGAGCCAAGTTATAGGTTAGAAGAACAGTGTAGCTTTGATTGTCATTGTTACCGTTGTTAAGATAATAAACAAAGTTTCAATTATCCAGTTTTAAATTAAATTATTAAATGACTGAACCTGTTCTAATCAACTTAAAATCGGACCCATCCGATGGCATCGAGTGTTAATTATGTTCTTGTCATGTTAATTAATTGTCCAATTAATAATTTCTATAACATTTAAGGTCTAAAGAAAGACCTGCAATAGGCAGATTTATCTCTTGTATAATGCCTCTTTAAATACCACGAATGTGTGCATTTTTACGAAGGAGAATTTTGCCTATTCTTCACATTCCAACTATCAAGGGTTCGTTTATGTGCATTCAAATTTGTCCACAGGTTGACATTGTTTTCCATTCCATCCAAATAAGTAGGAAGAATTGGAAACATCCATGGCTTAGACAAAGAAGTTTTGGGTGTACCCGGTGTACAGACCTATAACTAGAATTTCCTAAATTGAACGTATCATCAAATTATAACTGTTGTATTTATTTTTACAGCTGAAACTAAATTAGTAAAATTAACGTTAAATGGTAGTCAGCACCGTATTAGTGTAGAGAATCTAGAAGAATATGGTAATTATACATTCCAAGTTAGTGCTAGAACATCAAAGGGTTTAGGTCAAGAGAGGTCATCTAGTGTTAGAACCGGACCACAACCAGGTAAGATCCTTTAATTTGAATGTTTTATGAACAGCATGAATTTTCACACCTGATATATTTGTTCATAATTATTGAACAATTTATTAATTTAATTATCTTTTGTTCAATATATTTGACATAAAATTGTTGTGTAGGCTAAAATTTATATTGAAATATTAAAATATAAAATTGTTATTATGTTATAATTACCTATATGTATTCTCAAATATAGACTTTTAACTTTTCTAGGATCACCTGGTATGCCCTTAGATCTGACATTAATAACTACTGATAAATCTGTCATATTGAACTGGATGAAGGGTGACGAAGGAGATGCACCTATATATGGTCATATGGTACAAGTTTTTGACCAAGGTAAATGATCTCCACATATCAGAGTTATCTCTTTGAAATTGAATAATGCACCAGAAGTTTTACTACCTATTAATATTGCATGCTTTTATATATTATCTTGTGCACTGCTGTGCCTTGTTTGATATAGTGCCAATTCTTGAAGCGTAATAGTATCTGCATGAGATATTCCATTGTGAATAATTTCATGTTTATTTATAAAATCACAGTGCCAGACCATAACATTTTATTTTCCTTCCGTTTATATCAAGAAAGTAACTTAATACTTTGTGTAGGCCTAAAGAAGATGGTTACCTTTTACATGAGATGCCTTATTTTAAAATCGCATTTTAGATGAGATATAATCTTTAGTGACATTTAGCAATTTAGCACATTAAAAACACAACAATCACTGGTTTATTATAGCCCAATTATTTATTATTATTTACAAATAGCCCAATCTTTTAACAAGTGATCTTTTAACTTATTAATTAATTTAAAAGTCTCATATACATAGATTATTATCTGATAGCTATGGATTGAACATACATGTATTGTTGATGTAAAAATAAAACATTTACATATGTAGACACTGTCACTATCCGTCATCACTCATAGATACACATGAAGCCTTGTATGCTGGTACACTAATTTTCTTCTACTCTATAGCACTCTAGAATGTATAAATTTAATTAGAAATTAAGAATAACTCTTTTTGTAGCACATCAATTTATAATGCTATTCTTTATGCCCAACAGACAAAAAGAATTGGAAGACAGTTTTACAGAAGAATTCCCCAGAAACATCTGTTGTCCTTAGTTACCAGAGTTTAATACCAAACCATCAGTACAAATTACGTGTTATGGCTATCAACTCTTATGGTATCAGTGAACCTACATCTTCATTAGAAACATTTAAAACACCAGGTCCAGGTAAAAACACTTTTGAATGGATCTTCATTAATTTGCAAGAGAAAAAGATCATGTTTACAATACTTGATTAAATTTGTGTGTTTCTCTGTTAGAATTTTACACATTGAAGTAACAACCCTCAAACAGATGGAAAGATTTACTGTATATTCAGACCCAAAAGAGTTAAAAAAAAAACTTTGCGATATTTGCGTGGTGCTTGATATTTTAATAAAATACTTTTTCTATAATATCAACTGGCTGTTATGATCACATTCTGTGGATCTAGTTGAAATTTGAAAATTAAATCATAACTGTATGAGCTATAGGGATTAAATAAGGTCTATTTTGGGTCCATAAAATGAACCCTACCCAAAGCCAAAGATAAGTCGAAATATCTCAATTTGTGGACGAAATGTCCCAGTCGTCTCCATCTGTCTTTTTTATTAATAATTGTGAAATAGGTTGTTAAAAAGTCTAATTGAGGGTTAATTTTTTCTTACAGCTGTAGCTGCAGTGGCTAAACCCTTCCATACGGAATGGTGGTTCTTAGTTATAGTAGCATTAGCAGGAGTTATAATAATATTAATTATTATCTCATTATTATGTCTAATAGGTCGTAAACGACGATTTCAACAAAGTAAGTATCTGCGTTTATTTAATAACCATACATTCATCCACATTATACTCTAATAAGAAGATACAGTGGATGTATCTTAATTTGGCAGACAAATGGATGCGGTGTGTACTTTGTGCAACTGTCTTATATTATTTGTTTCACTTCGATGGGTGAAGGGAGGCAGGAGGTTAATTATTTAATATTTATAACTATAGCATTAAGAAATGTGTTTTGCCTGTGTTAATTGTAGAATCAAACTGTTACATGACTATTGAAATTGCAATATAAAATGAAAACATTGGATTATTAGTAAAGCAACAAAACAAGTGGTAGGATTTTAGTAGACATGTTTAATTGAAGTCAGTTATTCTCTTTGCTTGAAATAAAATTTTGTTTTAAGTTTATTATTGTACTCTTTTCCAGAAGAAATGAAGAGATCTCATACAAATACGACTGTCATGTCTGAATCACCAGAAGCAGATGACGATGGTTTTACAAACATAGAGATGTATCGACAATCACAAGCACAACGTCGTACTTTACCTAGAAATGGTCACAATAAAAATATATATGCCAGGTAAGTGTTTTCATACACCCTCATTGAAATTTTGTTCGTATATTGTCTTCGACCTAGCTGTAAGGAGTACATAATTGCTTGTAGACGCTCTGGAGGCTAAAGTTATCATCTGATTGATTTGAGAGGGCCAGGGATTATAAATATAGGCTTGACTTTAAATTTATGCATATTATTTCTGAGAATCCTATTTAATGATTTGCGATAATTCAAAAATATTACCAGTACCTTTTTTGTTTAATTATTTCTGTTAATTACTTAACAAGTTACTTTATCAGTTTTTAATGTCTTGTAAATACTCCCTTTTCCTACAAAAGAATAAATATCTGACAACCTTTTTAAACTGCTCAGATGACTTGTAAGCATTAAGTTTCATTTCATGACAACCTATCTATTGCTTTGAAATTACAACTATTGCTAAAAAAAAAATAACTATTGATATCAAATTATAGCTATTGATATAGTTATTAAAGTACTTATTCACTTTATTTAATGTGTTTATAGTAGTAGATCTCCACCCAGACCAAGTCCTGCTAGTGTTACATATTCTGGTGAAGATTTGGCTACAGGAACATCTAAATCTCATTTACCAGATGATAATAGCAGTAGTATTACAGATAAACCTTCCGAGATGGATGATTCAACTGAGGTATGATATTTAAACTTATTTTTATGAATAGATCCTGCTTTTCAGAAATAAATTAATAATAATCATCATTGTCTGTTTTTATAGAATGAATTTTCATTTTCTATTTCTATAACCTTTATCAATCTTGTTACACTCACATTTCATGTTGGAGTATATTGTCAACCCTGTCCGAATTGGTTTTTTTTTAAATTTCAAACCAACTGGATTTGGTCAGCTTGTCTTCAGGAGGAATCCTATCAAAATTAAATCACACATTGATTCTTGTAGAGTTACTGCCCTTGTCACCAAAATTAGGGCAGAGTTTAGCAACAAAGAATAGTTATTGCCCTTTGAAACATGAATTTATCAAGGAGGAACTAGAATTATTTTGTTTAGCTTTATTCACTTTTAATTGAATAATTTTTATTACGATATTTTCAGCCCAGTGATGATGAAAGTGATGATATAAGTATAACAAAAGTACCAGCTTCCCCACCCCCACCACCGTTTCCAGGTCATTATGCCAATAACTATGATGTAAGACAGTCTGTACGCTTGAACCAAGGTTATAATGCTTACGCTTATACAGACAGTGAAGCAGACAGCAGCCATTATGCCATGGGTTTAAATAATGGAAATATTGTGTTTAATCAATCACGTTCACGGACACCATTAGCTGGGTTTTCATCTTTTGTGTGACAGCTGATTTGTGTGTTCAATAAATTGTGTCTGCATTAATACATGGGAACTAACTCCTTTCCATGAAAGTGGCACCGTTTACGAAATCAAATACTTTTAGCTGTCAGTTATATATGTTGATCTGGAAGGTGCTTATAAGAAAAAAATTGAAAAAAGACAATGCAGTGTTGAATATGCCCAGGGATAATGTGATAAAGTATTTTTTTTAAAATCAAGCATTCCAGTCCCATATACGATTGCAATATAGAATGTATGAAAGATTTAATGTAATGATTATTCAATTATTGTAATTATGATTTGTATGCTATATTTATATTGTTACATACAATACATCTCCCTGTGTGCTACCATTGTCACTATATTAACAGTGCATATATATAGCATTATTTGTACATGTGTGTTAGTGGTGTAACTTTGAGTCCAACGTAATTGATTTCCAGAATGTGTACTCCCAACTACAATATATATTTTATTTGTGATTTCTGTGTTTAATTGAGATATTGTATTTGATTACTAAATGCCATACCATCACTCTCATTATCTAGATCTCATTGTGAATCATGTAAATATAGCCATCCCGTTACATATTTTTCTATGTACATATGTAGATATTTTTCTTTGTTTTTTTGTTTTGCCCATTTTGCCTCAGTTTACATATAAATGGCAGAGCTATATATTTATAGTCAAAATTTATTGGCAAAAGAATGAATTTTTGATACTTAATCCACTTTTGACTATTTTCTGTAGTTAGAATTTCTATTGAATAGAAATTTGTAACAGTGCCTTTTTATTTTATTTTAAATTAACAAAATAGTTTTTTTTTTATTTATATTGCTAAAGAAATAAATGTATATTATATTTAGATATAATTATGCTGTGTTTGTCTACCAGTTTGAACTTGTGCTTCTCTAATTCAGTTCAAAATCTTCCCCTGTAGCATTACAAATAGCATATTGCTATAAATATATGATTTTAATAAGTTTGTTTTCCTAACATTAATATCACCTACTATTGTCACTTCTTGTACAAATGATAGAATTCTTTACTATATTTAGTATATATTTAATATGCTCTGAACTATTTTTGTGGTGCCATATTACATTAACTTTTCTCCACCCAATTCACAGAGCCGGTCATATAGTCTATTGCACTCACATAGAATATTATTTGGTACTGTTCATGAATCACTCAGTGATCATTGTAATATATTACTGTCTCTTGTCAGCTCAAACCAGTTACACAAAATGGCACTGATTATATCTGTGTCTCATTTTTTCTTCTAATTTTAATTATTGTTCTATTTAAAATTGATTTATCATTATTTATGTTATATTTCTATTGAGTCTGCTATTGGGATATTTATGCTAAATACATAAAATTTTGTTCCATAAAATAGCTTCGTTCCCTGTTGAATTCATGTAAAAAAATGTTTGCTCCATGTTATACTCAGTTAAAATTGTTTTGCTCCATGTTGAATATACATCAAGAAAGATTTTGTTCCATGTTGAATACAGTTTAATATTATTTAAAATTGTTTCATATATTCATTACTATATTCTTGTTGTTTGTAAAGAAATAAAGCCTCTATGTGATGTTGAACCCAGATACACAAATATTTCACCATTTGATATTATTAAATTTTTCTGGACTTAATTGTATTCAGAATGAAATGAATTTAGAAATACAATAATTTATTAAATAACAAGTCTTTATCATTCGTTCATGAATTTTGAAATACAATAATTTATTAAATAATAAGTCTTTATCATTCATACAAAGTCTCATATCTCTATATTAATTATATGCATTGTTCCATTAGATATAAATATATTTTAAGTGAAAGTAGTATTTATTAGAGTTTTGATAAACAATTTTTGTATAATCACGTTGGTCTTGTAAATTATTTTTCTAAGCATGGTTTTCTCATTTGCAATGGTCCAATTTTTCCCAAGTAATTAAATAATCATAAAATGTACAGTTTATACCAAAAAATGCAAATTAACATTAAAAAAATTTAAAATGATGGTCTGAGTTTTGAGTTTTATTTATACAAAATAATAATAAAATTATTATTGCCTATTTCATACCCCTTTAAATGCCCATAAGTAGAAGTAAAAATTCTAAAGATAACGGTCCTTGACATAGGTAAATATAAATTTTCAGTTTAGTAGTCTTCTTCCTTGACCCAAGAAATATGACTGTAATAAAAACTATGCAAAGCGTTTTGAAATTGATTAGAATGTTTTGAAATTAAAAAGTGTTATTCTGTATATCCCCCACCTCTCAGTCTTAAAACATTTCAGCAAAAACTAGTTTTCCGAAGATTAAACCTATACAGAGAGACAACTTCAGGATGTGCAATAGAATTTATTTTATTTGGCGATGTCCAGAGCATAAATGTGGGATGGTTGTCTCCAAATAAGTTCAATCACTGCAGTCGGTCTCAAAATTATGCATCAGGGACTAAATCGAATTAATGAGGTAAACAAACGGTGCCAAAATAGAAGGGAATCTCAAATATGTATGAATATATGTATGATTGCGTCGATTGGATATCACAATACGTGGCAAAATCGCTGTTCTGTGGTCAAACTTGACTAAGGGTGCACGCTTGATGAAAAGATGACGACATATGCTAATTTATTTATATTCACCAAAACAATAAATCAAAGATATACATGTAGGTCCATGTAAATGATGTAATCATTTCACAAGTTGTCACAGATTCACAGTACTTTGTACATTCTTGCCAAATTATTAATAGTTAACATGAATTCCTATGCGTAGTAATCAAATTTTACTCATGTTATAAGTGTTTTCTGACCAACGGAATTCTGCAAAATCTTCCTCCAAGTCCAGGAAATGGCATTTCAGAGACTCTAGATTCAAAAACTTCTCCTTAGGAGCATGTCCCCGGACTACCCTAGAAAACTCGAATCTGCGGTGCTCGGTTCGTGGCTGCGTCAGTCGATCTCATTTTTGCTAAAACAAAATCGAAATGTACGCCCTGTCTGTGTTCTTCCTTATGAGTCAACGAACAAGTCAAGTGTATTTTCAAGAATTAAATGTGGACATATAAAAGTTCTTTTGTTGAATTGGAAGAATTGACAAAGTGATAAACCTCGGCAGATAAATTTCATATTTTGTAGCTACCCTGGTATGGTCACAAGATGACAGAGAATAACCCATCTGGTCTGAAATGTACTTTTATCAAAACATCAAGTATCAACAGTACACCATCCTTTAGCTTTCCGTTGGGATTTGGTCATAAAAACAATGCCATGACATCAAAACCTTATATTTATTCCAAATATCAGAGTTTTTGCAATGGGCGTTTTTCTTCTTTGACTGAGCAACATCCATTGATATGCTTTGTTTTCTTTCACATGGTTGGATGGTAGTTCCTGACAATACTACCGTTTAAAATAAGCTACCCATGGCAAGCCACAATTGTTTTTTCGTGTATTTATTATCTAAGAATAACGTAATGATGCATGTAGGTTTTTCTGACAATAGGTAAAATCAATATATTATAATTATATATGAACCAAGTTATTATTATATATAATAAACCAGACACACTTCATTGATTAGTTTAATCAGATCTATAAGGTATTTTAGGTATGTGTTATAACAATTTCTAAAAAAGGTCATTTGAAGGGATAGTTTGTCGAGATTTTATTTTGTTTGATCTTGTATTTCTCTATTGCTCGCGCACGTCGGAACGAAATTTATATTAACGAGGCTATCAGCGTGGTCAATATTTAAACGAATGAACATATATTTGCAAGTTATTGCAATGACCTGCATGCATAAGACTTCCGATAGACGTACTCCTTGCTTAACGGACCTAAATCGCTAATATTTAGGACCTAGAAATTGACACAAATGGTTCGCAACGCACATAATATAATGTAATATGAATGTATATGAACTGATTTACGTTCAATCGTTTCTGTTTTTACTGTAATGTTCGGCGAAATATCCCAATTAAGTCTCAATCGAATGACAATTTCTAGCGTCTGGTTATTCCAGTCTACATCGAAAGTATTTATTGCGCATGCACTCCAGATAAGAATATGTTGTCACCGTTTGACATGACTTGTGGAATATATCTAGCCTCGTTCTTCGAGTCCCTTATTAGAAATGGCGCTGAAACGTAAAATGTTTATTTTGTCTTAAATATTTGATATCAGAAGCCCATCTTTTCCCGGTAAGACCACAACATCAATGTTGATTTAAATTGAAAAATAATTTGTGTTTTCAATGTCGAAGACTTTGGGTGAGATATTGAGTTAGAGATTAAGTAAAAAAAACCGATTTTTTAGTTACATAACAGATTCTTTTGAAACAAAAAGTACAATTTACCAACAATAGTTTTTTTAAAAAAAGGATTAGTTTTTAAAAAAAGAATGTTACCAGTACATTGTAAGTGAATGAAAATATTTGGACTTTTATTCGAATCACAGATTTTCAATTTCCATAAGGCACGGATATTTACCACAAACGAGATGTATAATTAATCGACCTCGGCAAGATGTCTCTTTAACAAAGCGGTTTTTCAACGGCTAGGAATAGAAATAGCCTAACGGTATCTGAATTATTTTGTAAATCAATAAATTATAAATAAAGGCTTTCAATAAATCATATTGTTTGTATAATTGATAACTATTTATATCTAGACATCGGCTACTTCATTAAAACTAATAGTATATAAAAAGAAATTTAATAGATTGAATATTATGTCTAATGAATTATTGACAATATTTCTAAAGGGATTCTCAAGTTAGTAAGAGGATCGAATTTCAAATGTTTAATCTCGGCGATACGTACGTTACCTGCGTTGTCGCGCTCCCCGGCTGAATTCTGATAGCCCGCTGACTGAAGATTCGTAAAGCAATGGTCACGGGCATATTCATCTAATTAATCGCAATACTAGCTCTTGGCCGATCTGGAAAATATCTTTCTTATATAGTCTGTTAGGGTTAGGGTTATGTCTACAATTTACATGTCAAACGTACAAATTGAAGCTGTAAAAACGGCGGATTGTGGATAAAACTATTCTGAAGGGTTAGGGTTAGAATTGTGGGTATAAACATGGAAAGATATTTTCCAGATCGGCCAAGATCCAGTATCGTGCTTCAGATACAGTCGCAAGATTTCAACTCACAATATCTTTGATAATGATAAACGGATTGAAATGAACTTTTGACCTAAACATACCAGAAAGGCTTTACTTAATCGATGTTCGTTTGCGTGTATATATATATATATATATATATATATATATATATAACTGTTGTTGTTTTTTTTCTAAACAATATTTATTCACAGAAACTGGATTGGAGACCCCCTCTCCATAAAAGTATAAACATAAATATATATTGAAAAGATGTTAAAAAGGAAAAAAAAAAGAAAAGTAGAGGAACTATTAAGTTATAATATCGCTATATACACGATATGTACAAACCACATTCAGAAGATTTATATTTCATACATTTTCATACGGAATTTTCAAAATCTTTGGGAAATGTCGAGGAAGTTATGTACTCAGAAAAAAATTCTTCAGAATTGTTTCTGTCTTCAGTTCCGAATAATAAACCTTGAGAATTTTGATAAAGTTGTGGGAGTTTTATTATAATATAAGTTTGAGGTAAAACACCAGAGGAGGTTGTATCAACTATTTTGATTAGTTTGCCAAACCATTGTAAACAATGTTCCATAATTGCTATACGTATGACGATGGTTAATAATATGTTATCGGTGCCGGATTTACCATTGTGCCAAGTAAGGGTCATCATAACCTAACTATATAGCACAGGGCCTCATTTGTCCTATATCCGACACTTTAATGTTTCTTTATACAAACACCTTGAAATGCACCAATTAATTATAAATGAAATGAAATGAAATGGGGTTTAACCTCCTACTGTTCTGCTCCTATACTGGGCTAATGAAGACGGGCATATGCCATACAGTGTGCTATGAGGGAAATTTTGCCCACTCTTATATCGAATTCCATCTGCCAGGGGATATTTTACGTGCATTCCAATATATACAAGGGACCTCGGTTTTCGTCTCATCTGAAGGACTAGACAACTGTCCTTGTCAGGCCCCCCGTCCTGCATCACTGACAAGGGGAAACCACGCCGGAAAATTAATTATAAACCATAAATCTAAAATGATTTAATATAAATATCACAAATTACTGGCTCTATTGTAATCGAGTCTGTGTATGAAAATTATTTAATATAAATATAACAGATTACTGCTTTCTAATTCTATTCTTTTCGTGGCCTGTTTTTGACATTGGTTTATTAAAGACTTCATGCTTGTAGTTGTATGGGTTTTCAGAACGTCAAAAATGGTTATTCTTCAATTTTTTATGACTGAAATGATAGAAATTGACAAAGTCATGATTTACACCATAGAGAAGCCTGTCGTTATAGTTACGGATATTCAACAGTAAGAAAGAATCCCATATGTTGTAGCTATTGATATTCAGCAATACAATTTGGTAATCCAAGACACAATAACGGAAATTGAAACACACAAATTGAATACACAACTGTCAGACGTGAACATGTCACGTAGGGCATCTCTCTCTCTCTCTCTCTCTCTCTCTCTCTCTAAAACATTTTAGGCCGACTCTTCAACGTTTCTAGATATGTACTACTTGTCGCTGTCATGAAATACCTCGGCGTATCGGTCACACTGATCAGCAGTGAATATTCGCTAGGCCTCTACAATTACTGATAATGAGTCTCAAATATTAACATTTCTCCACCAACAAATTAAATTCTAAAACATTTTTTTGATGTATTAGAAAAATAAATAAAGACGTTTGACGTATTTGTAGGTAAAAATTATTTCCTATTTAGTGCAAATGCGTATTAAAATGACTAAAGACAGCATTCTGCCCGAAGCAGTAACGGCACGTGTTAAATAAAGGCAATCATCTTTTACAGAGATATTAGAAGACTCGAAATTCTCTGTGAAACAGATTGCGTACAGGTTCGATGATAGTTAGGGGTGGGGGGCAGAATCCGAAACGCCCGAAACATTTTCGGGTTACAGCCTCCCGCCCACCCCGCCACGACCGCAAATGCATTTCCTGTTATTCTAGCCCGTGAATACAGCAACTGCAAAGTGGTCTAATGTAGTCAAATTAAGATGGCTGACTGGAATTCCAATCAACCAATCAATCGTTTACAGTCCACGGAGATTTTGGAAATTTAACAGCCGCAAATGCGCTTTTCTGCTGAGTTAAGCAACTCCAAAGTTGTCCAATGGTTTTGTAACCAAAATCCCACTCTATGCCGACCTGAATTCCACCCACCATCCAACTACACTGTTGCAGCTGCATTCATTATTAATAATCGATACCCGAAAATGTCGCACAAAGTTGTGCTCCCGACAAAATGTTTTAATCCATAGTTAATTCAGTACAAATTCGTGATATTCAATTTAAAGTTACTTAAAATTAGATTTTGGCATTTTATTTTGACATCTAGATGAAATATTTTTATTTTCACTTTACCCGTTTGTCCGAAAAGTCAGATTGACCGAAAGTTAAGAGGGTAGCTGCCCCCCCCCCCTTCCTCCGACCCATGGCGCGTTTGCCTATGCATGAAAAGCAATAATTATAGACTCTATATAGCCGTTCAGGTGATATGAAAATCTGAAGTTCGCCCATGTCAGTGATGCATAGTTTAAGGCCTGGCTTCTGAATAAGATTGAGTAGGATTCATTGTCCTGTTTAAACGGTTTAATGATACAGGGGGCTTTGGATGGCCGAATGGTTAGCAAGTGCGCGCTGTATCATAAGGCCTGTCATTGAGTCAGCTGTCGTGGTTTCGAAACCCCATTTCTCTTTCTCTCTCTTTAAAGGCTCAATACCACTCTTGTTGTAACTGAATAATATGTCCCAATCTTTATTCTGGTCAACAAATTGTACTATTTTAGAATATTTCAATTAATTGATGATACAAATTTCATCTTAACACACCTTATTTAAAAATTTTGAAAAATCCAACATAATGGTTTGAAACGTCTAACGCAAACCTTTTCAAATGAAACTTCGACTTAAACATATTTTCGAACCCTCTGGACAAGTAAAATAGGATGTAATGGATAATTTACACAACAGGTAGGACACTTAAACATCTAGTACTTAGATAGAGATATTATTTATTTTCTGGAGCTTTCAAGCCAGCAAGAGTGTTATTCTCCCTTTAATGATACAGCACACACTGTTTCGCCATTCTAAATTTACCTTGCACAGCTACATGTGCCTAATTATCTGTCTGGACTATAAGCCATAGAGTTCCTCTTCAGATTTGGAGGCCAAAGACCTTTCGCTCGCCATTCGCTGCCTTTCTCCATAATAGAGATCAATAAAATTGATAAGGTATCAGACGTATTTAATAACCACCGGATTCAAACCCATTTCCGGATCTTACAAATTTATTACCCGTAAAATCTACGGTGATTAGCCTAATTTCATGCACCGATGTGTAAATTATTGGTTGATTTGTAAACATTAAAAAGAAAAAAACATCAATATAGATTACTGAAATTTGTATAGTGGTTTTTGACATCACCATAGAATAGAGGACTCCGTATAAGTTGTACATTATGGCACGAGAGAGACTTATACCGAGTTTGAAATGTTTTAACCGTACGTAGTAAACTGCAGAAAGCACTCATGTCTTTCAAAAAGCCAGCTTTGGATTTTTAAAATTTTTTTAAAGTTTTTCAAACTTAGTTCATCCGAAGTTGCCTTAAAAACTTACCACGGCTTCGACAATTAGGTTAATCCATGTATTGTGTTATGGTTGGGTTAAGGTTGGGTTATGGCTTTATCTGCGTTACACTAGGGTTAGGCCGGTGTCACAATAGTGTAGATCAACAACACTGATGTCACACAGAAACTCGCCTATATATCGGATTCAAAACAGAATTGGTCTGAGGTTGAATTAGTATGGTGTCATATCATAGCTACACCATACTAATCACTAGACTTGTTTTCAAGGGAAATAATAGGCCTTGTTTATACACAATACATGAAACAGTAGGTCTATAATATGGAAGTAAAATATAAAAATGTATAAATAAATATATACCAAATCAGTACAAAATAAAATATATACATAAATAACAAATACCTACCAATTCAGCACAAAATAAAATATATATATACATATATAAATACAGATACCATACTAATTCAGTACAAAGTAAATTATACAAATACATAACAAATACCACAGCAAATCTGTACTAAATAAAATATATAAATAAATAACAAATACCGTACCAATTCAGCACAAACTAAAATATATACATCTACATAAATAACAAATACCATACCAATTCAATACAGAGTAGAATATATAAATAAATAACAAATACCACACCAAATCAGTAAAAAATAAAATATATAAATAAATAATAAATACCATACCAAATCAAGTACAAAAATAACAAATACCATATCAAAATAAAATATATAAATTAATAACAAATACCATACCAAATCAGTACCTGTTGTGTAAATTATCCATTAAATCCTATTTTACTTGTCCAGAGGGTTCAAAATTTTTTAAAAATCCAAGTCACATTTGAAAACTTTACGTCAGGCTTTTCAAATCATTTAGTTGAATTTTTCCAATTTTTTAAATTAGGTGTGTTAAGATGGAATTTGTATCATCAATTAATTGGAATATTTTAAAATAGTGCAATTTGTTGACAAGAATAAAGATTGTGTCATATTATTCAGTTACAACAAGAGTGGTATTGAGCCTTTAAATAAATAACAAATACCGTACTAAATCAAAGGTATGTACTGGAAGTAAACAGCCTGGAATGCTGAAAATCGTGGACTTACATGAAGCCAAACAATGAAATAAAAATCAAGCAACTCGATAATCAATTCGCGGCTGTTAAAAAATAGGAGACATATGAAAAGGGGAAAGCAAATAGATACGCAAGTCAAACTCGTTACTGAGGCAAGCCGCGATACCGGGTGATATCATTAAATCTCTAACTTGAAGGTCACCTAAACGGTATCTTACAATTATTCACCCCTTCTTCGCCCCTGGTTCCCACTCTTTAGGGGATGCTCCTGGAAATGCAAGAATGCCCAGATGGTATACAAAACCAAGACCCTGTGTACACATTGGCAGTGGACCCTCACCCCGCCCTCGACAACAACAAATCGCAAATCGTGTCCCATTGCACACATGACAAGGTTTTAAACATAACTATATTAGTCTCAAAATGGCCAAAGTATTTAAAGGAGCCAAGTCTTTAACTCAGTATCACCCACAGTCTTCGAGATTGCAAGCACAACTTATTGTTCAATTTAAATCAACATTTATGTTGTTATCTTACCGTGAAAAGTTGGGTTTCTGATATCCAATATTTTGAAAATTTTAAAATTGGCACACGAATCATATGCCAGAATGCTTTCGAGCGCCAGTTGTATAGCGGCTCGATGGACCGGTGTAGACTTGAATAGCCAGACACCAAAGCCCGACATTCAATTCAGACTCTTCGCGTATTTCGCCAAACATAACTGATTTGAAATTAAAGTAAACACAGAAATTATTGAATGTATAAATCAGTTTATATACATTCACATTACATTATTATATGCGTTCTGGCCCATCTGTGTCCATTTCTAGACGTGCCAAAGAATAGCGATTTAATTAGCTCCTTTAATTGCGCTGAAGAGACTTTGAAACCCCCATTCCATTTCATTCTCTGACAACAGAAAAGTCAACGTTTAATTAGCTCAGACATATTCATGATTCACAGGCACTTGAAGGGATTAAAATAAAATTTCTTACTACTGCTTGACTATATATTATATATATATATATATTATATATATATTGATTGACTATTTATTTTAATCCCTTCAAGTGCCTGTGTCATGATTCATGAACATGAAAATGAACACAATCATCTTTATCAGAATCTTACACGAACAAGATAAAACACTATATTATACCATTATATTTAGAAAGTTTTAACACCCTTTCACATAGTATTTGTGTATTTGTTTATATAATATTTTGATTTGTTTATCAGACATATTGACACTTGATATCCGACGTCTGTTGACAATATCACACGCGCTGGCTTTTTTACTGTTCCAGAACGAGAAGCCGGGATGACTAATATGCTTAATACCTGCAGATTGGGCTAATATTCCTGTAATGTAAACATCTTCTAAATGCAGATAAGGCGATGCATGGTCGGCAAACTTTATCAGTTTTATCAGAGTTGTTGTCCTAAACAAATACGCCCCTCCTGCTAGATAAGGTGGAAACGTTTTATTGGGAAATGTTTTTGATGGTACGGACCACACATCACGGGGATCTCTGATCACTGTGGCATTAATACACAAGGCACCCATTATACGGGACTCACTCAGGAAGTATCGGTTATTTGTTATTTCTTCTAGAACATAAGGCACATTAATGAATGCATCATCGTCCGTTTTAAGCACGTATTGAGCGGAAGAAAAATCGTTAATAATTACGTTAAGTCCAGCAATCATTTTACGTGTCAGATTTCGGTAATCTTCGACGGTATTGACTTGAATGAGATCTTGATGAAGCACGTTTTCTCTGTCTACTACAGACCCCCACGCCCCTTTCTTGTCTCTCCCAACCACAAACATGACGCCCACCTCCTCAGACAAATTGTAACCCCATGTGTTTCGAATTGTTAAACGATGTTGCACGTGAGACGGATGGGAACAAACAACAATGAGTAGAGCTGGCGCCAAGAACTTCTTGAAATGAACGTCAGAGGGAGCTGAGATTGTTGACCTGCTATTAATTTCTGGTTTCAGCTTGTTGATTCCTAAAGTTGGTAGCCGAGAATAATGATATCCCCTCACATTAACCCCGTCATTGATTCTGACGTCATCGATAACACCACCATTTGGAAGTCTGTAATAATTTTTGGTGAACTGAAGTAGGAAGACAAAAATATAAAAAATGAAACCAATTTTCACAACTGAAAGACACACTTTACGTCGACATTTAACCATAGTTATTAAACTTTGGTGACCAGACTTCGTTCAGAAAGACTTTAAAGGGCCCCTTAACTTCTCCATAGCACATTATCGTCTGGGATGAAGTTAGCATTAAACTTTCTATCTCCAATATTTATTATCTATCGACATCTATCATCGAGTAAAAGTCTACATATCCAAAACGTTCCGTCTATGAACGTTTTCAGTTATGAATTATGTCTTTTCGGAAGTTAAATCTGCTTGAGTTTTCCTTACATTTTATGCTGGTGCTATTTTATACTGTCACTCAATTAATACGCCACAAATGTCTGCGTGCTTAGGATAATTATTCCCTAATGGCCGCTAATCGTATTACAAACTCAGAACATGATTAGAACATATGATCTTATCAGGAGAAATATTATGAAAGTTATGTCTCGCGCCTAATGTCTAACAATACTCTGTAGACCCAGAGTCTCACCACCAATCGATATTAATATATTTCTTATAGATAAAAACCTAGATGAAGTTTTCATTATCATGAATGTATATATACTCCCCTTGGGTATAACTGTTTCCAAGGTTTGAAAAGACCAGCACTCAATAGATACATATAAATAATACACACATTTAGCAGATATCAACACGACGATTCTATTCTCTTGGGAGATCCACAAATTCATAAAAATACTTCCACTTTGCCATAATTATTTTATTTTATTCTAAGCCCGGACGATATAGCAATAGCACTTTATAGTTGGTTTTGTCTAATATATAATTTACATACATACGAGATCTTATATGAATTATTCCACATCCTTAGAATGCATTTGACATATTTTTATCTCTCTGTCTATGAACACTGCAGTTTCTGAGTACATTCCTTACGATATAGATAAATGCACATTACTTTCACTACTTCAGATTAACATCTTTGTTTGACAAATTTGACACACATGTACACCCCGTTACGTGATCATATTACGTCTAGTATAACGATAAACAATTTCAATACAAATTGAAATTTTACCAATCTGGATCCTGGCCAACACTTCCACCGTAAAATATCAACCAAAAATAAATTGCATGTAACATCGACGTTTTCTTGATATTTCCAGAAATGTAACTGATTTTTGTTGTCTATTTTCCAATAACGAACTGAGTTGGAATCGGTTGGTTGAACTTGGAGAAAGTTATCGGCTTCGTGGTCTGTATAGTATTTCTGTACAGTACAACGTTCAGAGAGCTTCGATGATCACTTATAACTTGTAAATGGTGGTCTCAACCCAGTAGACAGAAAACCGTTACAAATGTTATGGTAATTTGATGGTATAGTGGTCGTTGTACCATCTAAGAATCAATAGGCAACTTGTCTAGTAATAAAAGCATGTCAAATAGGACCAACTGTTTAATTGGCCAATATTTCATGTTAGCTTTAAAGCAGAGTTTATTGCTATCTATCGTCCTATAAACAAATCAATACCACAAGCAAGTATTAAACTCCACATATATACGTTTTGTTTTCTATAAATACATTCTTGTAACAAGGTGAGCAATTTCAACTTCCAAAAGCTTTAGTTGAATAATGGCTGTCATTATAGTGTGTCTTTATTTATTAATGGTTTCTAACAGGAATGGCATAGTTTTGAAGACAGAATAGATGGCTCATTGAGACAACAACTGTCAACATTCATCTCTTTAGTTTTTTTAAAGAGAATTATTATCCCCTACCCCATTCCCCAATTTATTTTTAAGTTAGAAATTTAAAACCTCATTTCAATAATCTTTAAAATGACACGATCTCATTTATTTGGAAAATAAATATTGTTGATTTCATTTGGTGTATGTGTTCATTTGATTAGCAGGATGACAACCTGTCTTCATTGATAATTTTGCATTTAAAGACATTGTTGAGAACTAACCGGTTTACCGTTCCGCTGTCGACACAGTATAAAGAGAAAAATTAAACTAAAATGAGTAAAGTGCCCCTTTTATCGTTGGACATGTACTTTACACAATAAATAGAGAGTGGGGAGTTGCAATTAATACTTGATCTTTATTTGATCCCATTTTTGATTTTGGTTGGCCTACACTGCATGAAAATCTGTCTACTTCATTATCATAATCTTTGAGAGGCATTCAGTAACTGGATAGAGCAATAAACTATAACACATACTTATTGAGAGAATACTCGTCGAAACGTCGCCCTAGCTGTTTTTCCATAAGTATGTGTTATAGTTTATTACTTCATTATCATTTCCCCGTTTCCGTTGAAGTCCAATTTCAGTCACTGCGACTGTGTTAAAATCATTCCTGTCTGGGCCAAAACTACTGCCTGTTGGCCATGAAAGACCAGGTGAAGCCAACGGAGCACACATTTTTTGTTAAAACGAAGAAAGGTCCAGTTTTAATCTTAGGGGAAGAGTTTTGGGGACGAGAAAGATCTTATATCATCATCTGAAATGGGAGGTATTGTTTAGGAATAAGTATTAGTGAATAACTGTAAATATATAAAATGGGTACATGTTTCCCGAATGTGGAGGAAAGTCAATGAGTTCGAATCTTAAAGGATATTCAAATTCGAGGTCCACAAATCAATATAATAGTATCGGAACTATATGATGTAACTGTATACATTTTCTTCTATATTATATATATCTAATTCTTGAAATAAAAGACAGATTCTTTTCGCGATATAATGCGCTCTTCGTTATTGCGTATTGAGAAACGAAAACAGAAATCCCCAAATCCCCATTTATCGATCAAATATAACGGAATTAGAAATCAAACAAACACCCAATATAAACAATTTCTCTATTTCTTTCTCCTTAACATCCGCATTAATCTCATACCACGGAGAGCCAATTATACGCCGGGTTTTTCTCTTGAAAAGTTTGTTATTAACGAAATGCATGAGATTTCCATCGATTTCCTCTTGGACTTCGACCAAAATATTCAGCTGCAGTTGATACAAGTAGATTGATAGACAGATCACAGATCATATCATTGCTCTTTTTCCACTAGAAAACCTAATAGATAGGTTACAACAAACGTTCCTTGTCGTAGATCGATCGTCACGGTATCGATGCTTCCTACAACAGAACTCCTAATAAACAATTGGTGTGTTTATTTATTTATATCCTTATTTGAAGCCGCGGTAGTCGAGTGATATGGGCACCGAATTCGAATCAAGCCGAGAAGAGCTTTCGGATTTTTCAAACCCGTTTTTCTCTTGTCAGGCATATTAATCGAAATATTATGTTGAATGCCCTATTAGTAAGTGCAGGATGACCGCACTACACGTAAAACAAAAAAATCTACAAGATAACCTGCGGACAGGACAGAAAATAGACATTGCACCAAATAAACAAATATCAAATCAAGTGAATGGATCCGGGGGCCAGCCGGAAGCGTCCACTGCGCTGTACAGTCCCGGGCCTGAAGTGACACAGACTTCACTCAAATTTGAAAACAATCAGGAATACAAAAAAGACGTAACAGAAATAATGCGACCAATCTTGACAATGGTCGTCTTCTCAATGGCGATAGTCTGCAAGTTTATCATGTTGTATGCTTCTATAAAAAGAATACTCTTTTAGCACAAAATTAAAACAAAAAAAAAACAAATGGGGCGTAGCTTCATGTGCATCAAGAGTGAACAACACCCGTCATCAACATCTGACTGATGAGATAGACTGAGCTTGGATTTAGAGCGCTGTTCAGACGACACCCAAAACAATTTCCTTGACATCCGATAGTTGGTGGGCTTTGGTAATATTATGTTATTAGAATTAATTTTACGGCAACTCTTCAAGTTTACATGGTAGGCCCTATAGGTCTAAAAGGGACCAGATTGATAAAAATAAAATATCAATTTGGTTCTAACCGTTAGGAGTTAAAAACACACTTAAAAAGATATTACCACGCCCACCAAGAAAATAAATGTAATTAATTTTAAGTAATATTCTACTGAAAATATCCATATTGGGTCACCTAATTACAGACCTACTTCGGCAGATTGTAGCAAATTTTGCATACAATCTAACTGAACATGTAGGGCAAATCGAAAATTATTTTTGAGTCATGAGTACGAAATGAAATGAAATGGGGTTTAACGTCCTACTGTTCTGCTCCTATAGTGGGCTAATGAAGACGGGCATACGCCATACAGTGTGCTATGAGGGAAATTTTGCCCGGGCAGCGGCACTATCGCCTACTCTTATATCGAATTCCAACTGCCAGGGGATCTTTTACGTGCATTCCAATATATACACGGGACCTCGGTTTTTCGTCTCATCCGAAGGACTAGACAGCTGTCCTTGTCAGGCCCACATGAAATGAAATAAAATGGGTTTTAACGTCCCACTGTTCTGCTCTGAACTGGGCTAATGAAGAATATAAAGCATGAGTACACATACACACCAAACTGTTTACATTATTATCAATCTGAACAACAGGCCCCTATAACTTCATTAGAACTGCTATTATTAGTGAATTTCGTTAGAAAACCAATGAACCAGTTCATCGATTTGAGGAAGATGAACTCCACTTAACCCTAAATGCTCTCAATCAAATGATACGTGAGATGTAAACTGGCGTGTTGATCAGTATAATAAAAATTTATACATATCTCAAATCTCATTTAGGGTTATTTATACTTCTTCCTGTCCAATTATTGTATGTTTTTACCACGTTAAATTCTGTTTACTTGGACTGTTGTTGGTTATTCTACAAAGTCTTAGCAAGACTGGAAATCGCTGGAAAAATGTCAAACGCTTTCTAACAAATAGTGATGGCACATGGGAATAATACCGTTAATCTTTCCGACACCATCTCCGTAAGAAGACAAATTGCCATCCTTCTATAACCTTTTGTTGCCACAAATTCTGACGCTTGTTCATTTCATTTCATTAATTCCAGAAAAGTGAAAATTCGCCATAAAATGTACAAATTCCTTTTTCATTGTGAAGATATCTTCGTCACTTGCGTTCGTCGTTAGTCGGTTTTGCTGTGAACACTCTACAGCACAGTTTTATATTTTAAATTTGCAGGTTGTAAGGGATAGTCTTATCGAAATTTGAAATATTCGTATCATAAATTTCAAACGGATTTCGAGGAGTATATTTACGTTTGTATGTTTAAAGCTTGGAATATTAAAAAATCCTGCTCTGCGATATTTCTTGGCAATGGTTTTAGATCTAGCACGGACAACTTTGCTGCTCGTGATCTTCTCGGGGGGGGGGGGCTGACACTCCTATATCTTAAATCTCAAACTCTTTTCTTATTTTTAAGAATGTAGCCATTACCCGAAAATGCATAACCAATAGTAAAAGACATTTGTGTAATTTTGGTTGAATATTTTTGTTCTAAGCTTCAAAAGAATGAGTGAATAAAGTGAAATGGGGCTAATTAAGACGAAAAATGCAGTGAGCTATGAAGTAAATTTTGGTTGGACTCCCAACTGCCAAGGTGTACACGGGTCCTCGTTTTTTCGTCCCATCCGAACGACTAAGGGCTGCTCCTTGCCAAGCTCTCCGTCTTGCATCATACACTGACAAGGGAAGACATGTCGAAAAATATTAGGGAATTTTCGGGATCGAACCCGGGACCTCAAGGTTAACGGACCAGTGCTTTAAACAATGTGACACCGTGGCTTCCAACTTTAAAAGAAGTAAAACACCAAATATGTCAGCAATGTATAGATTACAGCTCGACATGATGAGTACTTGGCGATGATGAAATTATATGATTGATTTAACAAAATGTAACATTACTTTTGCTTGAATGACATCCAATTAAAATGTATTAGAGCAATGCCGTTTTTTTGGGAATAAGATGCATGCGGTGAAGCATTAAGTCTGAAAACTAAATGTCGTGTATAAAATTCTATTATTGTCAGAACGTGCAGAATTAATCCTATTTCACCGTTGGGGGTGCAGATCAAGTCACGTAGAAAAAAGTTATTATCTGTCTCGACGCTTCCAGCTTTAGATTCTTTTGACTTTTTTGTTGTCAGCGGGTCGTGTACAAAGGACTATAAAGAGACATGATTATATTGTGGTTGCATTAAAATCAAGGAACCATAATTCTATATCTCATGGCGGCTACAGAGTACTCATGATGAATACTACGATACGTATTTAATTCAAATTGTACCACTATATACAACTCTAAAAACTGCCTTAATCAACAATATACAACCCAATTAAGCCCCCTGCCCCCCGCCAAAATGCACATACCGGAAAGCTGCGCGCGCCCCTCGATAATCCTGCACACTTTACTGCAAGAAACGCCGTGGAAAAAGTGCTAAATGTTTAAAAACGAAGCAACAATCA